AACGGCAGGCACAGTATCTATTTCAATATCACGTGTTAGTATTTTGATTTGGTCAAGATTCAAGATTCAAGATTCTTGAGAACACCTTGTTAAGACCGTCAAGTTTAGCAAGAAATTGCTATATATTATCAAATGATTAATCCTGTATTTCGTATACAATTGCTTAATTTGAATCAGAAATTTGGATCCTAGTATTTGGTCAACCATCCTTCCATCCTATATAAATATATGTATGTATAAGCCTCTTTGGTTTGAAAAACATCATTGAAGCTTGCAAAAACAGATAGAAACACGAAGATGGGGAAAGCAACCAACCTCTTTGGTTCTTTCTTCTTCCTTGTTTGTTTAAGCATTGAATTTTCCTTGGTTGTCAGGGGACAGAACAGAACAACAATCCCAGTGAATGTTGGTGTGGTTCTTGATGATCTTGATTCACCAAACACAAAAGTTTGGTTGAGCTGCATCAACTTGGGCCTCTCAGACTTTTATACCTCTCGTGGTTCCTCTACAACTAGGCTGGCTTTAAGCATCAGAGACTCCAGAGAAGATGTTGTAGATGCTGCTGCTGCAGGTCTCTCTCTCTCTTCTTTGCTTTTCATTTTGAATTTTCAACAATTTGATTCTTCTTGCCATCTATATAAGTTTGACTTTTCTATTCATCTGATAAGACTATTTTTTAAATGAAAAGAAGCATAGTAATCAAGTTCTTGTCCCTTTTTTTAAACTTGTATTTTTGGTATTGATCAAACAGCTTTAGACCTGATAAAGAATGATCAAGTACAAGCAATCCTAGGACCGAAATCATCGATGCAGGCCAACTTTGTAATTGAGCTTGGAGACAAAGCTCAAGTGCCCATAATCTCATTTTCAGCAACAAGTCCTTCCCTCACTTCCATTAGGAGTTCATATTTTTTCAGAGCTGCACAAAATGACTCTTCCCAAGTCAAGGCCATAAGTGCTGTTGTCCAAGCCTTTGGATGGAGGGAAGCTGTCCCCATCTATATAGACAACGAGTATGGCCAGGGAGTCATACCCTACTTGGTAGATGCCTTGCAAGAAGTTCAAGCTCGGGTCCCTTACCGAAGCGCCATACCTCCAGAAGCAACTGATGACCAACTTGTTGCTGAGCTTTACAAGCTAATGACCATGCAAACTAGAGTCTTCATCGTGCACATGTTGCCCTCTCTTGGCTCTCGCCTTTTCGCCAAGGCACAAGAGATGGATATGTTGGATGGAGACTATGTTTGGATCATGGCTAGTGGAATGACCAATCATTTAACTACCATGAATGCTTCAGTCATCAATTCACTGCAAGGCGCATTGGGTGTGAAGACCTACGTGCCACAAACAAAAGAGCTTGTCGATTTTAGAGCTCGATGGAAAAGGCAATTCCAAAAGGACAATCCAACCATAATTGATGCTGAGTTAGATGTTCCTGCACTCTGGGCTTATGATGCTGCTTTTGCTTTAGCCATGGCAGTTGAAAATGTTGGGACTAAAAACTTTGTCTTCGAAAAGGCGAATGCTTCAACCAACTCATCAACCGATCTTGAATATTTTGGGGTTTCCCAAAAAGGTCCAGAACTTTGCCAATCCTTGTCAAGCACTAACTTTAGAGGCCTCTCTGGGGATTTCAGCTTTGTTGATGGGCAATTACAAAATTCCGTTTTTGAATTGGTGAATGTGATTGGGAATGGAGCAAAAACAATTGGGTTTTGGAAACCACAGAGTGGACTTGAGAAAAAATTGAATTTGACAAACACAAATGGTCCATATTCAACCTCTAAATCTAATCTGGCACCGATTTTATGGCCAGGGGACTCTCCCTCTGTTCCCAAGGGATGGGAGATCCCCACAAACGGCAAAAGATTGAGAGTAGGAGTTCCTGTAATTGATGGTTTTGCTGAGTTTGTGAAGGTGGTGCCTGGTCCTAGCGCTAACACAACCGAAGTTTTCGGGTTCTGTGTCGACGTCTTCAATGCTGCAATGGCTGGATTACCATATGCTGTTACTTATGACTTTATTCCCTTTGCAAAGCCTGATGGCACAAGTGCTGGCAGCTACGATGATCTGGTCCAACAAGTTTTTCTCGGGGTATGTCGAATTAATGTGAACTTCATTTTCTTCAATGATTTCAGTCTTCATGATCACTTGAAGTACTCATAATCTGCTGAAATTGAAATTTTGGCTTGTTTATTTGTTCACAGAATTTCGATGCACTGGCCGCAGACACAACAATTAGAGCAAACAGGTCTTTGTATGTGGACTTCACATTGCCATACACAGAATCAGGGGTTGTGATGGTGGTGCCAATGAAAGACGGCAAGAGCAAAAGTGCATGGATTTTCTTGAAGCCTTTGACATGGGACCTCTGGCTCACAAGTTTGTGCTTTTTCGTCTTCATTGGTTTCGTTGTTTGGGTTCTTGAACACCGTATTAATGAAGAATTTCGTGGCCCTCCCTGCCACCAAATCGGCACAAGCTTTTGGTTCTCCTTCTCAACCATGGTTTTTGCACAGCGTAAGTACCACAACCTCATCATGTTTCATGTTCATGCTTATAATTCCACAATTAATTGTTTTTTTTCATCAATTTTTACTTGAATTAATTTACAGGGGAGAAGGTGGTTAGCAACTTGGCAAGGTTTGTGGTGATCGTGTGGGTGTTTGTAGTGCTGATACTGACTCAAAGTTACACAGCAAGTTTAACTTCACTGTTAACAGTTCAACAACTTCAGCCAACTTTTTCCAATTTGAGCGATCTTATAAAGAACAGGGAGTATATCGGGTACATCGAGGGTTCTTTCGTCCATGATCTTCTGATCCAAAGGGGTGTTGATCCTAACAAGTTGAGGCCTTATAAATCTTCAGATGAATGCCATGAGTTTTTGACAAACGGGAGTGCAAATGGCGGCATTGCTGCCGCTATTGATGAAACCCCCAACATGAAGCTTTTTCTTGCAAAGTATTGCTCCAAATACACCATGATTGGCCCAATATTCAAAACTGATGGCTTTGGTTTTGTAAGCTCTCTCTCTTTACTTCTCTCACAATTAACGCTCCATGAGCACATTCTTGTAACACATTGCACACTACATTACTAACACATGAATAATGCAATTTATACACATGGCTATGTACGTGGCGTCAGTTAATGTTTCTTCTTTTGTACAAATGTACCAGGTCTTCCCCAAAGGTTCACCTCTAGTACCAGACGTTTCGAGGGCAATTCTGAACGTGACTGAGGGAGACGCCATGAAGGAAATTGAAAACAAATGGTTTGCGGGGGATGCAACATGTTCAGATACAAAACCCACCATCTCAGATTCCAACAGTCTTGGCCTTGATAGCTTCAGGGGTCTCTTCCTCATTGCCGGGGTCTCTTCGTCACTATCTCTCATCATATTTGCAGCCTCCTTCTGTTATAGGCATTGGCTCATGTTCATGACAACAGGAGCTTCTGCATGGAAAAGAATCAAGGTGATGCTCAGAATCTTCGACCAAAAAGACCTCAGCTCCCATACTTTTAGAAAGACTGGCTCTCAAGATGGAAAATACATGTACAATGCTGGCAGTGTAGCTACATCTGTCGAAGCTTCACCAAACAATAACAGCACGCACCCGCCAAGCCCACCAAGCCCTGAGTCGATTGGCCATTCAAACCACACAAATCCACACTCACCTTTCTTCAGAGAAGGAATATTACCGGTTGTTGTTGGTCAAGAATATCCAGAAATGTGAAGAAGTCATGAAGGAGCTCAAGAACACAATTAATTAGTGGAACAGAATTATTAAGTTTTCATAATTTCTGTATGATAATTAATCAAATAACATAGCTAGGCATTGTATATATTCACCTTAAAACAATATATATATCTCTTTTGTGTATTATAATTTATAAACAATTAGTATATGTGCTAATTTTCATCGACTATGGTTTATAAGTTATGAAAATGAAGCTGCATGAGAACCTCACCTGGGTTTCCACACAATCTGATTATTTGATTGCCACATGTACTGCTTGGAGAAAATGAATGGCTACTTGGCAATTCGTTTAGTAATTGTCTTCTGGAAATTTCTCTTGCTGCTATTTATTTGACCAGATTTTGTACCCACTTTCCTAATGAGTTGGGGAAGAATTTCTTCTTCCTTGTCTGTTTAAGCATTGAATTTTCCTTGGTTGTCATGTTTGGGCCTTTAGTTGATGAAGAATAGCCAGGCATTGTATTGTATATATCTCCGTTACCAAAACATTAAAAAATAATTCAATTAAGGTTTTGCATTATTGTATAATCAAATTGGTAGACCTGAGTTTGATGACGTTATTCGTGACACTAGTTTAATTTATTTTTAAAGATCACAACAACTAAGCACGTACATTGTTAATTAAATCAGCATCTAATCGGGTGCTTTGAACTTAATCAGCGTAGTTGGCCCAGAGTTTGATTTGTCTCTTTTCAGTCAAAAATATTCATTTGAACATTAATTCATTACCACAAAAGGACAATATGAATGAGTTGGAGAGGGACAACATATTGTTTTAGGTTTTAGACATAAAAAATTTTTCACTTTTGGAAAAAGTCAAAGCTTTTTCAAAAAAGACAAAAAAAGGGCTAAACTTTCAAATCAAAGACATGCAAATGTATTGGATTCCTTAGGAAATCTAAAAATAAATAAGGGCATTTTTGTCCATTTTTGCTTCTTTTAAAATTTTTCTCTCTCCTTTTGCTTTTTCCAAAATGTCCCGTTTGTTTTTCAAATTCTTGGAAAGACTCGAGACTCAGAGTCCTGTTACACGGATTGTCCACGGAATGTGTTTAATTAATTTGGTTCTGTCCGTATAGACTGAATCCTAGCGGTGACTGACTGATTCTTTTGCATCTTTTTTTCCAGGGACTTTTCATATCTACCTACTGCAGTCTGCTTATAAGTGCCAACCTTCCTTCATCTGCTTGTTACTAGAGAGAGAGAGAGAGAGAGAGAGAGCTTTCAAGAATTCACATGAATATGAATATCAAAAAGAACCCAACCATTATTCTTGCTCCTTTTATCCTTTTGCGCTTTCTCTTCTTCTTCTCATGGATTTTCAATATGGCTGCAGCTGCAGCGGCAGTGGAAAACACAAAGATTCCAGTGAATGTGGGTGTTGTTGTTGACCTTGATGCTCCCAGTGGGAAGACTTATCTGAGTTGCATCAAAATGGCCCTCCAGGACTTTTATGCATCTCATGCTCACTTCAACACCAGGCTGGTTTTGCACACCAGGAACTCCAACCAAACTGTTGTTGGTGCAGCTGCTGCAGGTTCTCTCTCTCTCTCTCTCTCTCTCTGAACCATGCATGTATTCTAATTGATCATCATTTTGTATCTCCTGTTCTATAATAATGAATCATAATTTAACGTCAAATTCTGGAAGATGATTATAATTATTACATGTGCTTTTATGCTTTTTATTTATGGATTCATTAATCATATAATTTATATACATTCATCATGTTTCCTTCCTTGTAAATTTGAACAAAATGTAAGGGTGTGTCTGCAAGTGTACTTGGGGTTTTTTTTCAAACTTTAGACTACTAAAATATCTCTCACGCTAGTAAGACAGGGGCTTGTGACAAAAAAAAAAGTTTAAGAAGGGTATGTTTTTTATGTTTTGTCTTTTGGTAAGCTATAAGTTAAGGATCGATAATTTCATCTCATTAATTTACACGTCTCATGAGAAAGAAAACAAGTCAAATAAGGTAGCCTCCAAACCATGTGAGGCTCCTCCAAGCTTTGTAAATTCTTCAATGGCCTACCTAATTAATGTTGTCTCTATATGGTGGATTTGTGTATTTTAGGTACCGTGCCTGTGAAGATCAATATCGTTTCCTATATCATGGCCATGACCATTTTAATAAGCACAATGATTTTTAATCTGATCAAATTAAGCAATCACAATTTTTACTATTTTTTTTTCAATGTAACACAGCTCTGGATCTGATAAAGAATGTAGAAGTGCAAGCAATCCTTGGACCAGAGACATCGATGCAGGCCAGCTTCGTTGTCAATCTTGGAGACGAAGCTCATGTGCCCATTGTATCATTTTCTGCATCAAGTCCCTCCCTTGCTTCGCTTCGGAGCCCTTACTTCTTCCAAGTTACACAGACTGACTCATACCAAGTGAAGGCCATAAGTTCCATTGTTAAAAATTTTGGATGGAGACATGTTGTGCCGATTTACGTGGACAATACGTTTGGGGAGGGAGTCATACCCTTTTTAGTTGATGCATTGCAAGAAGTTGATGCTCATGTCCCCTATCGGAGTGTCATCCCCCCCATCAGCAACTGATGAACAAATCGAGAAAGAGCTTTACAAGTTGATGACCATGCAAACTAGAGTCTTCATTGTGCATATGATGCCCCATCTTTGTTCTAAGCTATTGCCATGGCAAATAAGATTGGAATGATGAGGGAAGGCTATGTTTGGATCACGACGAATGGGGCTGGTAATCGTTTGAGGTCATTGGGACCGGTTGTCTTGAGTTCCATGCAAGGGGTTCTAGGTGTGGAAACAGAGGTTCCAACAACAAGGAAGCTTACAGAATTCATTGTGCGGTGGAAAAGGCAATTCCAACAAGACAATCCGGCCATCATTGATGTCTATGTGGACGTGATTGGCCTTCGGGCTTATGATGCTGCTTTTGCACTAGCCTTGGCAGCTGAACAAGTTGGGGATACAAGCTTTGGTTTCCAAGAGAGGAATGGTTCCTTCAGCTCAACAGATCTTGATACTTTTAAGGTCTCTCAATATGGTCCAAAGCTTGCCCAGGCCTTATCAGATACTAGATTCAAAGGCATAGCTGGTGACTTTAGTCTTGACTGTGGGCAACTTCAATCATCAAGATTTCAGATACTCAATGTAAATGGTGATGGAGTAAGAACAATTGCATTCTGGACACCGGAAAATGGTATGGTGAAAACATTGAGTTCAACAAACACCAGTATACTTTCAACTTCCGAGAAGTACGATTTTGGACCCATCATATGGCCTGGAGATTCTCTGTCTGTTCCTAAAGGATGGGAGATCCCAACAAGTGGCAAGAAGTTGAAAATAGGAGTTCCTGTGAAGGTTGGTTTTACTGAGTTTGTTAAGGTAACCCAGATTCCTAGCACAAACACAACAGATGTTACGGGGTTCAGTATTGATGTCTTTAATGCTGCAGTGGAAGTATTACCATACGCTCTTCCTTTTGAGTTCATTCCCTTTGAAAATCCTGACGGCACCAGTGCTGGCACTTACAATGATTTGGTCTATCAAGTCTATCTTGAGGTAAAATTCTTTGTGTCTATTATACATACAAATAACTGATTGGAATTGTGCTCTGATTTAACATGTTTACTTGACAGAAGTATGATGCTGTGGTGGGAGACACAACAATTAGAGCAAATAGATCATTGTATGTAGACTTCACAATGCCATACACAGAATCTGGTGTGGTAATGGTTGTGCCAATCAGAGACACCAGAAGAAAATGTGCATGGGTTTTCTTGAAACCTTTGACTTGGGACCTCTGGCTTACAACTTTTTGTTTCTTCATCTTCATTGGTTTTGTTGTTTGGGTGCTGGAACATCGAATTAACGAAGATTTTCGTGGCCCTCCCTCACATCAAGTTGGCACAAGTTTCTGGTTCTCTTTCTCAACCATGGTCTTTTCACATAGTAAGTACATCCATATCATGTCTCCCTAAGTTCAAGTTAAGAATTCTTAATATTTTCTTCTCCCCATCTATGTCTATACTGACACTTTTTGAATAAAATTTTACAGGGGAGAGAGTGGTTAGCAATTTGGCTAGATTTTTGATGATTATATGGGTGTTTGTTGTGCTAGTATTGACACAAAGTTACACAGCTAATCTAGCATCACTATTAACAGTGGAACAGCTCCAACCAACCGTCACTGATATAAAGGATCTTCTAAGGAATGGGGATAATGTCGGCTACATAGAGAACACTTTTGTTTGCGAAATCTTGAAACAACTCGGTTTTGACAATTCCAAGCTTAAGCCATCAAAACCATGGAAGCATGTGATGAAGCTCTTTCGAAAGGGAGTGCAAAGGGTGGTATTGCTGCTGTTGTTGATGAAATTCCAAACATGAAGCTTTTTGTTGCAAAATATTGTTCCAAGTATACCATGATTGGTCCAATATTCAAAACTGATGGCTTTGCCTTTGTAAGATCTTTTTTTTTTTCTCCTGCTTTACATAAATGTTACCTGTACAACACATGGAACCAAAAAAGATGACTTAACTTAATTTGCAGGTGTTTCCGAAACATTCCCCTCTCGTACCTGATCTTTCACAGGCAGTCCTAAATGTGACCGAAGGAGAGAAGATCATGAACATTGAGAACAAATGGTTCAGTCAAGAAAGCAAGTGTGAAGATAAGTCCACTACTCCAAGGGTCTCAAGCAATAGTCTTGGACTTGAAAGCTTTTGGGGCCTCTTCCTCATTGCTGGGATGGCTTCAATTCTAGCTCTCATTATCTTTTTAGCTTCCTTCCTGTACAAGCATAGGCATGTCTTGAAGCAATCTGATTCAAGAGCTTCTAAATGGAGACGGGTTCGAGCCATGTTTGAAATTTTCAACGACAAAGACATCAGCTCCCATACTTTTAAAAGCAGTCAACAAAGAGATGGAATTGGTGGTGCTGGAGATGAACTGAAAGCCTCACCAAATAGCAACTGGCCTGAAAGTCCATTCAGCTATTTGGACCACACAGACAAGGATTTTGTATTGTATGAAGGGCAACAAACCCCATCTACTACTAGTGATGCGTCTCCGGAGATAGTTCCAAAAATTGAGCTTGATATTATCACTGTTCAAGAAATGCATACAACTCCTGTAACAGATCGTTTGGCTTAGAAGTAATCTTGCATTAAAAAAATTACAATGGTACTAATATAAACAGAAATCAAATGATTGATTCCAGTATGAATTCAGCATTGTGAGTTTATTTCACCTGCCCACCAAGCAGAACATTCAAACCACATATAGATCAGCTCCACACTCACCTGTTGCGGTTTGTCAAGAATCTCTAGAAAACAATAGTTAAATTGACATGTATTAAAATCCTTCAACTCAAGACAACTTGAATCAAGTGGTGGGATCTAAAGTCTAGACGACTTGGTTTTGGCATCATTTGTGACGCATCTTCGATACTCCCGACTATACATGACAAGGTAATTGGTAGGTCTTTTCTAGTTATATAAACCTAATTAGTTGTTTAATGGGTCAATTGCAGCACAAGCTACACAGAGATGAAATGGGAGAGTTGTTCCATCTGTCAAGTCAAATTCCATTATACATAATTACCATTTATTTATGCATGAATTAATTACTACAAAAAGACAACATGAATGACTACGAGAGACAATATATATATAGGTCAATTAAAATCGTAGAAAGACCCCAGACCCAGACTCTGTTATCCTTGTCCACAGAGTGAGTGTCAGCAGGTCAATAAATATTAGTTTCCCATATCTATATATAATTATAGTCTTATAGATGTTTTGTTAATTCATTCTAACTTATACATTAAGCAAGGAAAGGCTTGATTAATTTTGTCTTGTCCGTATGGATTGGGGTCCTAGCGCTGACCGACCAATTATTTTCAATGGACTTTTCATATCCACCTACTGCATATAAGATTAGATGCCATGATATCCACATAAAACTATTTAAGTACCAGTCACCCTTCATTTGCTTCAGAATATATACGAGTGACCTTGTGATCAAATATTCACATTATAATATGATGACCATAAAAAGAACCCAATGTTCTTGTGCTTTCTCTTCTTCTCATGGAGTTTCAGTATGGCTGTGGCTGCGGCTGCAGAAGCACAACGATCCCGGTGAATGTGGGCGTTGTTGTTGATCTTGATGCACAGTTTCTGGGTGGGAAGATTTTTTTGAGTTGCATCAAAATGGCTCTCGAGGACTTTTATGCATCTCATGCTCACTTCAAGACCAGGCTGGTTTTGCACACCAGGAACTCCGAACACACTGTTGTTGGTGCAGCTTCTGCAGGTTCTCTCTCTAAACCATGCATTAATATATATGTTCTAATTGAGATTTTGTATACTTATCTCCTGTTCTAATAATGAATCATATACCCTGTATGCATCTCCATCATTTCTTTCCAGTCTAAAAACCAATTAATGCCAAAATCAGGAAGAGAATTATATTATATACCAGTGTGGTATGAATTTGTTTGGAAGTTCAAAAAGGAGGGTGTACCGTGTTTTTGTCCCCATTAACAAAAGTCACTAAGGAAACCGAACCTAACTAAACCAAGGTTGGACGGTTTGTGTTGGCTTGCTTTGGGAGGGTTGCACATAAGTCTAATTCTTTTTTCTTTCCAATTTTTTAACTTTGTTAGTCCAATTGGATTAGATTAATTTACAAAAACTCAAAACCTTAACTGAATCGAACAATTATGGTCCATTTTGATTTTGAATTATTTGATTTGTTTAGTCAAAATTGAACTAAACTGATCACCACAGTTCAAATTAGTTGATGTAGTCGATTCAGCTGGATTGATGTCCAACTCTATATGCAAGTAGGGGTGGGCACAATTTCGAGTCAACTCGACCAAACTACCCAACTCGATAATTAGAGGGTCTTGGGTTCAATAAATCATAAATCTCTATGTACATGTTAGAACCAAACCTTAAAAAGTGAACTTAATTTTGAGTTAACCCAACCAAATCACCCAACCCGATCACAAAAGAGTTGGGTTGGCCTAATAATGAGCGGGTCTTAAGTCTGAAAAATTATAAACTACTATATATCAGGTTGGATTACGAATTAAGATCAAAATCGCCCTAACCCAACTTGTGCCACTCCTATACGCAAGCGTAGTTGGGCTTTTATTTTTTGGGTCAGAATGTAGTTGGGCTTTGAGAAGTAAAAAACAGAGTAATTCTGTTTGTTTTGTCGCTTGCCAAGCTAAAGGTAAGGTTCATTTCATTACACGTCCCAAAACTCATAAGAAAGAAAGAAAAAGGGTCAGATTCGTAAGAAGGTCGCCTCAAACCGTGTGAGGCCCCATCGAACTTTGAAAATTCTTCAATGGTCAACCCTAATTTTGTAGCGCACGCCAATAATCGTTTGCTATGTTATCTGTTCATAATTAACTATCATTGATAACGTTTTAACCGTTATAATAAGCATAATATTTCCTAATATTTTCAAATTAATCCTTCACAATTGTCACTTTTTTGTCAATGGGACACAGCTCTGGATCTGATAAAGAATGTACAAGTGCAAGCAATCCTAGGGCCAGTGACATCAATGCAGGCATGCTTCGTTATTAACCTTGGAGACCAAGCTCATGTCCCCATTTTATCATTTTCTGCAACAAGCCCCTCTCTTACGTCTCTCCGAAGCTCCTACTTTTTTCGACTTACACAAACTGACTCATACCAAGTGAAAGCCATAAGTGCCATTGTTAAACATTTTGGATGGAGACAAGTTGTGCCGATATACGTCGACAATACGTATGGAGAGGGAGTCATACCCTTTTTAATTGATGCCTTGCAAGACGTTGATGCTCATGTCCCCTATCGGAGTGTCATCCCTCCATCTGCCACTGATGATCAAGTTGGTAAAGAGCTTTCCAATTTAATGGCTATGCCAACAAGAGTGTTCATTGTGCACATGACGCCCAAGCTCTCCTCCAGTCTATTTGCTAAGGCAAAAGAGATTGGAATGATGAGCAAAGGCTATGTTTGGATCTTGACTAATGGGGTAGGAAATCGCTTATGGTCAATACGTTCGGTTGCCCTAAATTCAATGCAAGGAGTATTGGGTGTGGAAACAGAGGTTCCAATAACAATGGAGCTTACAAACTTCAGAATGAAGTGGACGAGGCAATTCCAACGAGACAATCCAGCCATCATTGATTTTGATTGTGACGTGTTTGGACTTCGAGCTTATGATGCCGCTTTCGCACTAGCCTTGGCAGTTGAACAAGTTGGGAATGCAAGCTTTGATTTCCAAAAGAGGAATCCTTCCTTCAACTCAACAGATCTTGATACTTTCAAGGCCTCTCAATATGGTCCAAAGCTTGTCCAGGCCTTATCTAACACTACATTCAAAGGCCTAGCTGGAGAGTTCAGTCTTAAGGATGGGCAACTTCAACCATCAACATTTAAGATAGTTAATGTAAATGGGAATGGAGTAAGTTCAGTTGCATTTTGGACACCGGAAAATGGCATGGTGAAAACATTGAATTCAACAAATATTAGTATAATTTCAACTTCTGAGAAGTGTGATCTTACACCGATTATATGGCCTGGAGGTTCGCAATCTGTTCCTAAGGGATGGGAGATCCCAACAAATGGCAAGAGGTTGAAAATTGGTGTTCCTATGAAGGTTGCTTTTACTGAGTTTGTTAAGGTAGCCAAGAATCATAGCACTAACACAACCGACGTCACGGGGTTTAGTATCGATGTCTTTAAGGCTGCACTTGAAGTATTACCATACGATCTTCCTTTTGACTTCATTCCCTTTGCAAAGCCTGATGGAACCAGCAGTGGAACTTACAATGATTTGGTCTATCAAGTATATCTTAAGGTAAAATTCTTTGTCTCTAATATAAATGCCAATGACTTGCATCATGTACCTTCTTCTGATTTAACATGTTTGCTTGACAGAAATTTGATGCTGTGGTGGGAGATATAACAATTACAGCAAATAGATCCTTGTATGTAGACTTCACAATGCCATACACAGAATCTGGTGTGGTAATGGTTGTGCCAATCGTAGACACCAGGAGCAAAAATGCATGGGTTTTCTTGAAACCTTTGACTTGGGACTTATGGCTTACAACTTTTTGTTTCTTCGTCTACATTGGTTTCGTCATTTGGGTGCTTGAACATCAAATTAATGAAGATTTCCGTGGCCCTCCCTCACATCAAGTTGGCACAAGTTTCTGGTTCTCTTTCTCAACCATGGTGTTTTCACATAGTAAGTATATGCATCATCTCTATCAAATTAAGAATTCTTAACAGCTTCGTTTTCCTTCCCTCAGCCTATGCGCCTATTGACACTTACTTTTTGCTCACTTTTTGAATTCAATTTTACAGAGGAGAGAGTGGTTAGCAACTTGGGCAGATTCTTGATGATAATATGGGTATTTGTTGTGCTAGTACTGTCACAAAGTTACACAGCTAATCTAGCATCACTATTAACAGCTGAACGACTCCGGCCAACTGTCACCGATATAAAGGATCTCATAAAGAGTGGGGATAGTGTCGGCTACATGAAGAATTCTTTTGTTCATGAACTCTTGAAACAAATTGGTTTTGATGAGTCCAAGCTTAAGGCTATGACTTCCATGGAAGACTGTGACCAAGCTCTTTCCAAAGGGAGTGAAAAGGGTGGTATTACTGCTTTTGTTAATGAAACCCCCAACATTAAGCTTTTTCTTGCAAAATATTGTTCCAAATATACCATGATTGGTCCAATCTTCAAAACTGATGGGTTTGCCTTTGTAAGATATTTCTCTCCTTTAATACACTTACAGACAGATAACACATGCAAGCAAATGTGGGTTCATTTTTTCTCATATGACTTCTTTGGGACGATTTTGCAGGTGTTTCCAAAACGTTCCCCTCTTGTACCAGATATTTCACAGGCAATCCTAAATGTGACCGAAAGAGAGAAGACCATGAACATCGAAAACAAGTTGTTCAGTCAAGAAGGCAATTGTCAAGATAACTCTGGTCCAAAGGTTTCAAGCCACATTCTTGGGCTTGAAAGCTTTTGGGGCCTATTCCTCATTGCTGGGGTGGCTTCAATTCTAGCTCTCATTATCTTTGTAGCTTCCTTCCTTTACAAGCAGAGGCATATCTTGAAGCATGCTGGGGTTCGAGCCATGTTCGAAATTTTCAATGAAAAAGACCTCAACTCCCATGCTTTCAAAAGCAGTCCACAACGAAATGGCAGTGCTGGTGATCAAGTTGAAGTGAAAACCTCACCTAATAGCAATTGGCCTGAAAGTCCATTCAGCTATTCGAACCACACAGATAAGGACTTTGTATTCCTTGATGGGCAAGAAACACCATCTACTACTAGCCATGCGTCTCCGGATATAGTTCCAACAACTGAGCTTGCCCGTCGCTATCCAAGAAATGCAAAGAAGTGCTGTAATATCCCAAGAAAACAATTAAGATGATCGGAGAAAGAGAAAAGGGCCTAGAAATAATCTTGTATATAAGGTTTAACATTTTTAGTGTGTCAAGTTATTATGAAAATCAGAAACAGAGGACCAGAAACAGAGCAACTTGAATCTGTAAATCCATAATTGACCCAGCACTCATAAAGAATTCCATAAATGCCAACTTTATCCCTGTTCCCTGGATTTACTGAGAGTTAAAAACGAATCAAAAGTTTTCAAAGAAGACCAAGAGCTGGCCAGCTATTCTTGTGTAAATTCAGCATCGTGAGTTTATTTGCTTTCATTGATGGGGCCATGGCTGTCTCTGCATTTCTTCTTAAGTAGGGCAACACTTAAAAAATGTTGGTCAGTTCTCAGCAGAATTATTAATATACGACTTTCCTGGGTCAAATATTAATGCAAAGACTTAAGGAGTGACGTTTTTCAACACAACCCAAAAGACAAGGAACACCTTGTCTCACTTTATTTTTATATCAAATAAATTTTGGTCAAAATTAATTTGCTTTGAATGTCTAACTGGAGGCACTATTTGCAGATAGTTTTCCCTTCAATTTCATCAGAGACTTCGAACTTGTGCTAAGAAGAAGACCAGAACCGGCTAGTCTTCTATATCAGACAAGTAGAGGAGATGAAATGCTTCTAGAAGACTACAGCCAACTACAAGTTCTATTTATTTTTTCACTCCATTTACATGAAAAATAAAAAGACAATAAGATAGATCATTTATTTTTCTATAATTATAATACCATTGATGTTGATTGAACCAAGTAGCGTATCTGATGGGTTGTTTAGCTAGGACTTTCGAATTCTTCGGCTGTCACGATCGATCTGCATATATATAAGTTTGTTTGGACACTTAGTTGGACAGAATCAATCAGATTAATCAGGGTTCAAAAGCTTCAAATATGATCAAGAAAAGGCCTTTGAACCTTAAGCTTGTTCTTTCTATCTTTTTCTTTTTTCTTTGTTCATGGATTTCCTTGGCCTTGGCACAAAACAGAACCATCCCAGTGAATGTTGGGCTTGTTCTTGATGACCTTGATTCAGGGGATGGGAAGATTTGGTTGAGCTGCATCAAAATGGCCCTCTCAGATTTCTATGCTTCTCATGCTAACTACAAAACTAGGCTGGTCTTGAATGCTAGGGACTCCAACAGAAGTGTTGTAGATGCAGCTGCCGCAGGTAACCCTAGACTTTGCACTTAAGCAAATGATAGACCTTCTTTCTTCAACAGTTTCTTGTTTTTTTTTCTTTCTTAATAAATAGTTATTGTTCTTTTGTTTTTCATTGAGCGCAGCTGTAGATCTAATAGAGAAGTGAAAGTGAAAGCAATCCTAGGACCAGGGACTTCAATGCAAGCAGGCTTTCTTATTAACCTCGGAGACCAAGTTCATGTGCCCATTATATCATTTTCCGCAACAAGCCCTTCTCTTAATGCAGTCCATAGCTCCTACTTTTTTCAATTTGCACAAAATGACTCATCCCAAGTGAAAGCCTTAAGTTCTATTGTAAAAGCTTTTGGATGGACACAAGTTGTGCCTGTCTACGTTGACAATGAGTTTGGGGAGGGTGTCATACCCTTTCTAACTGATGCCCTGGAAGAGGTTGATGCCCGTGTCCCCTATCGGAGTGCGATTTCCCTGTCAGCCACTGACGGGCAAATTATTGAAGAGCTTTACAAGTTAATGGAAATGCAAACTAGAGTCTTCATTGTCCACATGAGGACGGATCTATCCTCTAGGTTATTTGCAAAGGCTAGAGAGATTGGAATGATGACCGAAGGCTATGTTTGGCTCACTACTAATGGGATACCTAATGAATTAAGGTCTCTAAATTCTTCAGTCATCAGTTCCATGCAAGGTGTATTGGGCATACAAACTTATGTTCCACAAACAACAAAGCTTGAAGAATTCATGTCACGGTGGAAACGACAATTCCAACAAGACAATCCAACCATAATCGATGCTCAATTGCATGTTTTTGGACTTTGGGCTTATGATTCTGCTTTTGCACTGGCTATGGCAGTTGAAGAAGTTGGGACTGCAAGCTTTGAGGTGTCTCAATACAGTCGAAAACTTTCCCATGCCTTATCTAGTATGAGATTTAAAGGTATTGCTGGAGATTTCAGCCTTGTTGATGGGCAACTTCAGTCATCAACTTTTCAGATAGTTAATGTCAATGGTGGTGGAACAAAACTGGTTGGATTTTGGACACCAGAAAATGGACTGATGAACAAATTGAATTCAACAAACACAAGCTTTTCTTCAACTTCCAACAAGGGCAATCTTGCACCTATTATGTGGCCAGGAGATTCTCTCACTGCTCCAAAGGGATGGCAGATCCCAGCAAACGGCAAGAAGTTGAGAATAGGAGTTCCTGTCAAGGTTGGTTTTACAGAGTTTGTTAAGATCACGAAGGATCCAAGCACCAACGCAATTGATGTCACTGGCTTCACTATAGATGTCTTTAAGGCTGCAGTGGAAGTTTTGCCATACCCTCTTCCTTATGAGTTCATTCCCTTTGCAAAGCCTGATGGTACAAGCGCTGGCACTTATAGTGATTTGTGCTATCAAGTATATCTTGGGGTAAATTTCCTTATCTTTTATATTGTTAAATTTGAATGTGAGTTTTCTGATTCAACTTCCCCTTGAAAAGAAAGAAACCATTCAATTTCTTTGTCGAGATTTTGACAAATATCTTTACTTGATTGCAGAAATATGATGCTGTGGTGGGAGATACAACAATTAGAGCAGATAGGTCCTTGTATGTAGACTTCACAATGCCATACACGGAATGCGGTGTAGCAATGGCTGTGCCAGTCATAGACGTCAGGAGCAAAAATGCTTGGGTTTTCTTGAAGCCTTGACATGGGGAGCTTTGGCTGACTACTTCTTGTGTCTTCGTCCTTATTGGTTTTGTGATGTGGGTTCTTGAACATCGGATTAACGAAGACTTTCGTGGCACTCCCTCACACCAAGTTGGCACCAGCATCTGGTTCTCCTTCTCGACCATGGTTTTTGCACAAAGTAATTCTCCATGACCCTTCTCTCATTTCAAATCAATATTTCATAGATAACCTGCACTATAAATTGTTAATTAACAATATCCTTGTTTGTACAGGAGAAAGAGTGGTTAGCAACTTGGCTAGATTTGTGATGATTATATGGGTATTTGTTGTTCTAATATTGACACAAAGTTACACAGCCAGTCTGACATCACTGTTAACTGTTCAACAACTTCAGCCAACTGTTACAGATATAAAGGATCTATTGAGAAAGGGGGGAAAACGTCGGCTACTTAACAGATGCTTATGTTTACGATATCTTGAAACAAGTTGGTTTTGATGATACCAAGCTTAAGGGTTTCAAAACAATGGAAGAAATTGATGAAGCTCTTTCAAAAGGAAGTGCAAATGGTGGTATTGCTGCTGTTGTTGATGAAACCCCCAACATGAAGCTTTTTGTTGCAAAGTTTTGTTCCAAGTATACTATGATAGGGCCTATCTTTGAAACTGCTGGGTTTGCCTTTGTGAGATCTCTCTCCTCTTACATGTTCATGCAAGAAAATTACATTTCCTACAAGATTTCTTTGTTAACTTGCTGATCGAGGTCATGACTTTGTAGGTGTTTCCAAAACGTTCCCCTCTTCTGTCGGATGTTTCACAGGCGGTGCTAAACGTGACTGAAGGAGAGGTGATCCTGAACATTGAAAACAAATGGTTCAAGAAAGGGGACAATTGTGAAGATAACCCCACCCAAGAGCTTTCCAACAACAGTCTTGGCCTTGATAGCTTTTGGGGGCTATTCCTCATTTCTGGGGTGGCTTCAATACTTTCTCTCATCATATTTGTAGCTTCATTCCTTTACAGGCACAAGCACATCTTGAAACACCCACCGGATTCAAAAGCCTTAACATGGAGAAAGATTCGATCCATGTTCGAAATTTTCAATGAAAGAGACTTCAACTCTCGTATGTTTAAGAGCAGTCAACAGAGAGATGTTATTGCTGGTAATCCAGATAATATTGCAGGAGATGCTAATTCACCAAATAACAACTGGCCAGAAAGTACATCCAGCTTTAGTTCCAACCACACAGATGCAAATTTTGAATTCTTTGTAGGGCAACAAACACAATCTCCTGGTCAAGCATCTCCAGAAATAGTTCCAAGTACTACTGATCCTGCTATCATTATTGCAGAAATGCGTACAACTTCTGCAACAGCTCAAGATAACAATTAATATGTATATGTAGATAATTAATAGGAAAAAAGAGAGGAAGAGTTTGGCTTAAACTAGCTCTTTACTTCTTAACCATCTATCATGTATTCAAGCATTATCTTCTGTTGTAGTAGTGGGAACTGAGAAATAGATAACTTTGATTTTGGATAATATATTTACATTGTCATGTCACCTGGTATTCCAATACACAAATATTATAACAGGTGTTTATTTATTAATATTCTACTTAAATATTAACTCGTCTTCTACTGATATTATAATACATGAATTAGTAACGTAATACAAACGGTCATACTCATACATAATAATTTTTCCCACCACTCACACCCCTCTATCTTTATGGTTATCAAAAATTGATGGATCTAGTCTTTGTCAACGATTCAACATAAATGTTGTCATTATTATTGGTTGCCTTGTCTACCATTTAATCACTGTCGTGCTAGATAAGCATATAGAATAGTCGCGAGACGTGTTTGCGTCATTTGAATTTGGCGTGACCCAACGGTCACCAACGGACCAAAACGCAGCGTTCCCTTTCCGCGCGTTTAGTGTAGCCTGAAGAAGGAGTCGCTCAAGCTATGAAAATGGCGCTCTGCGTTTTGCATTGACCGAGTCGTCACTGAGCTGTAAGCCATTTTTTCTTCGTCCTTCCATTCGATTCGATTTCATTGCCGAGAGTATTTAAATTTTCGATAATAAAAATTGGTTCTTTATTTGCGAATTTGCAGAGAGGTTTTATTCAGTCTCAAGTTTGGGCCTTTTCCCACTGCTGTCACCAATATCTTGGATCTCATCTCACTAGACTGTAAGACCTCTTCTAATCTGCTGCCCTAAAACTCTGAACACCAAATCCCTAATTTTCCTGATAGTGATAAATCCCTAAATTGATTTCATATGGCGGGATGGGTGGGTGATTAGCCGAAGGATTGATGATGCAAAATGACCCATTTACCCTTGCATTGACTGCACATGACCAGCCTAAACCCACAAACAAAACACCTTTTATTTATTTATTTATTTTTAAAAGTATATTTCCATGTTGATTTTTGCGTCATTTCAAAATTGGACTGATTTTTGCTTTTTTGGTCAAGTCCAAATTGGTCGTATTAACTCACCTTGAATTGCTAACTGTAGGCTGCCGTAGGCACAACTACAAATTTCGTTGACTTTGTACTTTGAATTATTCTTAGAACCGTAGGCTGCTGTAGGTACATTTAAAAAAATTTGTTGCTAAAAAGTCTTCACCTTTCATTAAGTTTTGTTTTCGTCATACCAAGACCTGAACGTGTGCCGACTTGCATTGTGTGTTTTATAAAGAGATTCCATGGTCCAAGAGCTTTGAATGAAATCTTTTTGGATGAAAGTGTGGTTCAAGGACCATCTCCCTACTTAATGTGAATTTGAGATGGACTAAGAACTAGACCTGGAGCACCGTGGTTTAACTAGTCAAAGGATCATTGCTATACATAAATGAAATGCTTGGGAAAGTATCTAGAAGGAAAGACAATAGGGCACACTACGTCCTTTTGGTAATTATGACTGCATTCATGATTGAAACCAAGTAGCGTATTTGATGGATTGTTTAGCTATGACTTTCAAGGCCTTCGACCATCACCATCATCTCCATGTACATAAGAGTAAGTTTGTTTGGACAATTAGAAGGAATACTGGATTACCAAATTACGCAGCCTTCAAAATTTTCAAACATGGTCAAGAAAAACCCTCCCAACCTTGAGCTTCTTCTGTCTATCTTTTTCTTCTTTCTTTGTTCATGGACGTCCTTGGCCATGGCACAAAACAAAACCATCCCAGTAAATGTAGGGGTTGTTCTTGATGACCTTAATTCAAGGAATGGGAAGATTTGGTTGAGTTGCATCAAAATGGCCCTCTCAGACTTCTATGCTTCTCATGCTAACTACAAGACTAGGCTGGTTTTGAACACCAGGGACTCCAAACAAAATGTTGTGGGTGCAGCTAAGGCAGGTAATTCTCTCTCCTTTTGCAAGCATCTACTCTTGTAAAGAATGCCAATCTTTTGCATTTTCGACCGTTTCTCTTTAATGTGATTTCAATAACTCTCACAAATCTTCCTCTTGAGGTGGAGCCTAAGTTTTATGTATGTATTTTGCAGTCCAAGCTAATTTTAAATATAATCATCTCTTTTTCATTGAGCGCAGCTGTAGATCTAATAAAGAATGCAGAAGTGCAAGCAATCCTAGGACCAGTGACATCTACGCAAGCAGGCTTTCTTATTAACCTTGGAGACCAAGTTCATGTGCCCATCATATCATTTTCTGCAACAAGCCCTTCTCTTAATTCACTTCGGAGCTCCTACTTCTTTCAATTTGCACAGAATGACTCATCCCAAGTGAAAGCCTTAAGTGCTATTGTAAAAGCTTTTGGATGGAGGCAAGTTGTGCCTGTCTACATAGATAATGAGTTTGGGGAGGGAGTCATACCATTTTTAACTGATGCCCTGGAAGAGGTTGATGCCCGTGTCCCCTATCGGAGTGCCATTTCCCCGTCAGCCACTGATGGCCAAATTCTTGAAGAGCTTTACAAGTTAATGACAATGCAAACTAGAGTCTTCATTGTCCACATGAGGACGGATCTATCATCTAGGTTATTTGCAAAGGCCAGAGAGATTGGAATGATGACCGAAGGCTATGTTTGGCTCACTACTAATGGTATACCTAATGAATTAAGGTATCTAAATTCTTCTATCATCAGTTCCATGCAAGGTGTATTGGGTATACAAACTTATGTTCCACAAACAGTAAAGCTTGAAGAATTCATGCCACGGTGGAAACGACAATTCCAACAAGACAATCCAACCATCATTGATGCTTCATTGGATGTTTTTGGACTTTGGGCTTATGATTCTGCTTTTGCATTAGCCATGGCAATTGAAGAAGTTGGAACTGCAACCTTTGGCTTCCAAAAGACAAATGCTTCCTTCAACTCAGCAGTTCTTGAAAGTTTTGAGGTCTCTAAATATGGTCCAGAACTTTGCCAAGCCTTGTCAACTACTAGATTTGAAGGGATCGCTGGAGATTTCGGCCTTGTTGATGGACAACTTCAATCAACAAATTTTAAGATAGTTAATATAAATGGTGGTGGAGCAAGAGGAATTGGATTTTGGACACCACAGAATGGACTGGTGAAAAAATTGGGTTCATCAGCAAACTCAAGCATATTTTCAACTCCTAAGCGCAAACTTGGACTTGGACCCATTATATGGCCAGGAGATTCTCTCTCTGTTCCCAAGGGATGGGAGAACCCAACAAACGGCAAGAAATTGAGATTAGGAGTTCCTGTGAAGGATGGCTTTACGGAGTTGGTTAAGGTAACGAAGGATCCTAGCACTAACATGACAGATGTGACTGGGTTCAGTATAGATGTTTTTAAGGCTGCAGTGGAAATGTTACCGTATGCTCTACCTTATGAGTTCATTCCCTTTGCAAAGTCTGATGGAACCAGTGCTGGCACTTACAATGATTTGGTCTACCAAATATATCTTGGGGTAAAATTCTTTGTTTTTCATTACTCACTTCATCCACATATGTCATTTTCTGATTTAACTTTTGATTCAATTTCTTAATTTGAATGCCGAAAATGATTAACATGAATGTTAAATTAATTTACTGCAGAAATTTGATGGTGTGGTGGGAGATACAACAATTAGAGGAAATAGGTCATTGTATGCAGACTTTACCATGCCATACACAGAATCTGGTGTAGTAATGGTTGTGCCAGTCATAGACACGAGAAACCAAAATGCATGGGTTTTCTTGAAGCCCTTGACATGGGACCTTTGGCTAACAACTTGTTGTTTCTTCTTCTTTATTGGTTTTGTGGTTTGGGTTCTGGAGCATCGAATCAATGAAGACTTCCGTGGCACTCCATCACATCAAGTTGGCACCAGTGTCTGGTTCTCTTTCTCAACCATGGTTTTTTCACATAGTAATTCTCCATCATCTCTTTCATTTATAAAAGAAAAAATTTCAAGTATCAAATTAAAGTTGTTCAATAACTCATATTGATACTAACTTTAACAATTTTCTTTTCTGTACTTCTCGAATCTGCACTTTACAGGGGAGAGAGTGGTTAGTAACTTGGCCAGATTTGTGATGGTCATATGGGTATTTGTGATGCTAATACTGACTCAAAGTTACACGGCTAGTCTAGCATCACTATTAACTGTCCAGCAACTCCAGCCTAGTGTTTCAGATATAAAGGATGTTCTAAGGAATGGGGATAACGTGGGCTACGCAGAGAATACTTACATCTATGGACTCTTGAAACAAGTAGGTTTTGATGATTCCAAGATAAAGATGTTTCAATCTTTTGAAGAGTGTGATGAACTTCTTTCAAAAGGAAGTGCAAATGGTGGTATTTCTGCTGCTGTTGATGAAACCCCCAGCATGAAACTTTTTCTCGCAAAATATTGTACCAAATATACCATGATCGGACCCATCTTTAAAGCTGCTGGATTTGGTTTTGTAAGATCTCTTTCCTAGTACACACAGTAATTGGCTAATGTATTTCTCATAGTTGCATGCTTGAATTCTTTGATGTAGTAATTCTCTGAGGTGACTTCCTGCAGGCCTTTCCAAAGCGTTCTCCTCTTATAACCGATCTTTCACGGGCAGTCCTAAACGTGACCGAAGGAGAGGTGATAATGAACATTGAAAACAAATGGTTTAGTGTAGAAAAGAATTGTGTAGATAACTCAAACCCGAAGGTGGCTAGCTACAGTCTTGAACTTGCTAGCTTTCGGGGCCTCTTCCTCATTGCCGTGGTGGCTTCGATACTAGCTCTCATCATATGTGTAGCTTCCTTCCTTCACAAGCATAGGCACATCTTGATGCGCCCTGACGATTCAAGAGCCTCTGGATGGAGAGGGATTCGAACCATGTTCAAGATGTTCAACGAGAAAGAACTCAGCTCTCGTATGTTTAAGAGCCCTCAACAGAGAGATGGCATCACTGGTGCTGGTGATGAAGTTAGTGCTGCTGCTTCACCAAACAACAACTGGCCAGAAAGTCCACGCAGCTATATTTCGAACCACGCAGACTTTGCAGAGCAAGCAACACCATCTACTGGTCAAGTATCTCCAGAAATAGTTTCAGCTGTTGACCATGAGCATGCTATCACAATTGCAAGAACTTGCTGAAGCAGCTTAATAATACAGTTAATATAAATTTTCCCACTTCTGGTGTGACTTGTATACAAAAATATCATCCATGATTTTGTATTGATACATTAAATCAGATGGTCTTGTTATACACAGTCTCTCCTGGGAAAAGTAGCATTGTATATAACTTCTCTGAAGAAAAAAAAGAGTCCTGTTTGGCCTGTGGAGGGTCACCTGCCAATGCCGAAAGCGGAAAAAGAGTGATGGCGAAAAAAAAGAAAAGAACAAATACAAGGTTTTGATGACTTCAAGCTTAAGGTTTTTAAATCTGTGGAAGAATGTGATGAAATGTAATGAACTTCTTTGATAGAAGGAGAGTGAGTGCAAATGATGGCATTAGATGGGTTCATATGCTTGATTTCTTAAAAAGAAAAAAAGAGAAAGGAATGAGTTTGGCCTTGCATTGTTAAATGATGGTAAACAATTATATTATAATGAATGATCTATGAAGTTTCATTCAGTCACCTAACACTAATCCATATTTAGAGTATGGTTTGACTTCAAACTTTATGACATATGAATAGTTTCTATTTTATTATTTTCTTGGGGAAGAAGATATTGAACATAAGATTCAATTTTAATAATAAGTCCTCTTATTGACTAAGATTCAAAATATAAAAAAAAACGAAAGAGGTTTTTTTCTAGGTGTTTGTCATGACACTATACTATATAGATGATCTCAAGACAAGACATCCGTTCACTCTATCATTATTGCAAAGTTTATCTAAATTAATGAAGATGGTTTCTTCCTTGTTCAAAACTCTGTTTCTTCTTGGGTTAATTGCGTTGATCGCCTTTGCCGTGCAGACAGCTCAAGTTGGTGCAGGTAATTTCCATGGAGACCCCTCTATTGTGCTTGAACATTATGATCAATTAACAATATATATATATATGTGTGGAGAAAAACCTTGGTTGCAACAGGTATAGCGAAGGAGTATTATCCCGGTTGCATGAAAAGTCTTTCTCATGTGTGGGGCTTCTCGACATGTTATGTATAAGGCTCTCACTATAGAATTCTTAGAGCGTGTGCTTTTTACAGATGCCAGGTTGAGGAAACTGAGCCATTTACCAAGTCCACCACCTCCTCCAAAGGGAGCCCGCCCAATTCATCAGCTGCCACCTCCAAATGAGTAGTAGCTAGACTATAGATTAGTCTTGTATTATCAGCTCATGTTAATTTAATTCAAGTTCTTAATCAAAGTGTGAGAGTTTCGGCTTTCCGTTGGCTGCCTCAGTTCATATTTGTTCAATCCTTGTAACTTTGTTAGTCTTTTTCAGATTTTTGGGATTATATGGTGATGAGCAAGACAACACCATTGTATTTGTATAGAAAGAAATTACAACTAAATTTAATCATATCAACGCCCTCTATATGAAGAATTTTTTTAAAAAAATATATATAAAAATAATGAAACCCCTTGGTTTTTTTTTTTTTTTTTTTTTTTTGTTTTCGAAAAAAGACAGGTGGATAAAAGCCGTATAAACAGACCCAAAATCACAATGACGGGTTAGATACAGAAATCGTATAAAATACAAGGTGCTTCAAATAACAAAATATAGAACAAGGGGCCCAAACAAATAGCCCATTAAGAAAACATAGAACAAAACAATGACTGAATCGGCTCGTTACCCAAAGCCCAATTTCTCTTTCTCCTCCTTCCTTTCCTTTCCTCTGTAGAACTTTTTTTAATTTGCTTCTGATCAATTCCTGCCCAGAGCTTGAAGAATGGGAAAATGTCGACCTGCAATTGTGGCCAAACCGTCTCGTAACGACGGCGTGTCGTCAAATAGAGCGCTAGACGGAAAAGGGGGTTGGGGACGAGGTCCCTCAGTTATAGGGTTTGTGGCATGCGAGAGCTTTAGCTGTGAACCCGTATGAAAGCTCCTCCAATTACGTTAATGGCATGGAAAGGCTAAAGGTAAAAAAAATTTATTTAAAACTTCATTTTACACATTGTGGGTCTGAAATTCTCTAGGCTCCAGCCTCCAATTGCGTAGTGTCGCTAATGGGGTTTGGTGTAAATTTCAATCCTATTGTTAAATTAGCTGTTAATTTTATTCAGTGGAGTTGAATTAAAATTGGGCGTTCTAAAAATTGTTGTTTATATATGCTTTCTTGTTCTTTCCTGTCAAAATGAATGGCATAATTTCATCTTATTTGCCATGCTAGGGTCCAAAGTATCAACTTTTGCACTGTACATCCCTAAACCTTGTATTCTATCTCTTGTGAAAAATTGTAGCTTATATTAGAAATTAGAATAAGGGCTTTTTAGGGGTGGGAGATTTCTTTCTTTTCTTCTTCCCCAGGGGTTGAGGAGTGAGAATCATTGTATTACAGCCACATATTCAATCCATATATCTTTGTAAGAAGGAAGCACATCTTGAAAAGTGCAAATTTCTCAGTAGCTAGATGGCTTTTTCATGTAACTGCTATCTTTTTCTACTAATATTTACATTACCAAGTTCCATAATGTGTACTTATTTTATACTTTCATGTATTCCTTCTTGTTATTGTTGCTAAGGACTAGAAAGCACAGGAGGTGTTTTTGGTATTCTCTCATCATGAATTTTACAACATAAATAATCAAATGATTTAAGTTCCAGTGTGATTATTAAGTATCTACTCTCATTCATGCAGTGACACTCAAGAAACTTGCTGGATCAGAAGGGAAGGGGACGTGGTTGATGTGCAAGAGCTATTTGGATACATTGGCCTCATCAATCTTTATGATTTTCAAATGGAGAGGACTCATAATAGCACATGCTTTTGGGTATTATCTTACTTTCCTGGAGTTTCATCTCTCACAGCAATGCTTTCCGATGCAGGGTGGCCGCAGAATGCCATGGGACTGAATCTTCTGTTGAGTTTTCAGACCCGCAATCCATTGGGGAAGTTGTGCTGCTAAATGGCTTTGTGAGGGAGGAGTGTTCTTTCAGATTATTTTTGGCATGTAATATATCTACACAATATTTTTGTGGAAAATTTATGTAAAATTACCAAGTAGGGACCATTTGATGTTCCTTTTCGAACGGATGGAGATTCCCAAAACTATGTTGTGTTTTGGGGAAAATCTTCGCAGAGGTGTGTAGACAACTGCAGAATTATATGGTAGCAGCGGAAAAGAACTCACTAATACCACTTACATGATCAAGGACTCAGATTTCGACACAAAAGGTCGATAAACCGTCACAACATATGTAAATCTGTAATCTTAGATAAGACTGCCTACTTTCTACTAATTGAATTGTTTCTCCTGTTTTACTTTGACATTAATTTTCCTTTCCATAAAACATTATAGGCAATTTAGTAAACCGCCAAAAACAATCTGTGTACCATTTGTTCAGTGCAGGCATATGGAGTTCGTTATGTCTAGTTGTTTAGATCGGCTACTTCTGGGCACGTCTAACCGAGATCACAACACTAGTTGCCTTAGTAAGTAGGTGCTTCACCAACTACCAAGGTCAAATATAATTTTATAACAATAAATGTAGTCCGTTTATTCGAATTTCACTTGGAAATTTGAGCGAAAAATTCTTGAATTTAGAGTGTTGAGATTGACACTTTAACAACATAGCACAAGAGAACATTACAGCTTATTCTCTACTTGAAGTTTTCAATGCCAAAATTTGCATTTGGTCTTATGTCCCTGTAGGCATCAAGATTTGTTTTGAATGAGAGTGCAGAAAGTCTAAAAGATGACTGTTGTATAATTCCATCAATGTTTGAAGATCCAATTTGAATTCTAAAAATAAAGTCAACTGTTGTTTAGTTGACCATCCCATGTGTTCTCCAGGTCGCTGACACTGACACCCTTCAATATTCAATTCACCTAAACTGGCTGTAAATCTAGCAATTTCATGTGCTTTTTTCTCTAAGAAGTTCTTCTGCTTCTTCTGGGTAAAATGAACGTGTAAATTAGACCGATAGAGAGCACGAGTAACAAGCCTAGCAGGCCTCAGCAATCTGCAAAGTTAGCCTAAGTAGACTTAAACTTCATAGAAAATAATCTTCACCTGAATGGTAGTAGTTCTCTGATTTGCCAAAAGTAAATATAGGTACGAACAAATCAACAGGTATGCAAAAATATAAAAGAAATAGAAGCTTGTTACACAAGAATTCAACATATATATATATATACACTAACAATTTATTACCAAAAAATAAAAAAGAGAGGCAAAAAACGTACTTACTTGGCCACCACACACACACTTGCTACACTTGATGAGCAAGTATATGTAGTTTTTTTTTCCCTTGTACAAGTTAAGCAATATGAACGTCCCACTCCCATTGATATAGAAAATCAATTTAGATGGAACAAATTATTGAACCAAACTCAAACGTTGACAATTTGACATTATTAAAGTGTGTATGTAAACAAGATTCCCCGTTACTCGATTCCATCAGTTTCAAAGCAGAACCTTGAAGAATTTCAAACATGGTCAAGAATGCTAGCTGCAACCCTGTTTTTTGTCTTTGCTTCTTGTTCTTACTGTTTTGGTCTATTTTCTTGGCCACGGCACAGAACACCCCAGTTAATGTTGGTGTGGTTCTTGACTTTGATACCGGGTTCGGGAAGAAGGGTCTGACCTGCATCAACATGTCCCTCTCTGACTTCTATGCCTCTCATTCTTACTACAACACTAGGCTTGTTCTGCACAAAAGAAATTCCCCTTCAGATGTTGTTGTCACAGCTTCTGCATGTTCTCTCTATCTTAACTCTCTTCTCTTTTTTCAGTTTTTTTTTTGTTTTTTGTTTTTCCATCCATTAACCCATGCCACCCACTTATTTTCTAATACTCAATTGATTTTTATTATGAGTTGATTAGTATTTATTTTTATTGGGAACCATATATCAGTATTTTATTTAATTATCCATTTTCACCTTTGGAACAGCTCTGGACCTAATAAGGAATGTTAAAGTGCAAGCAATCATAGGTCCAGAATCATCCATGCAGACCAAATTTGTAATCAGCCTTGGAGACAAAGCCCAAGTGCCCATAATTTCATATTCTGCAACAAACCCATCTCTCACTTCCATTCGGAGTCCATATTTTCTCAGAGCTGCACAAAATGACTCATCCCAAGTGAAAGCCATAAGTGCCATCATCCAAGCCTTTGGTTGGAGAGAAGTAGTGCCCATCTATGTTGACAATGAGTTTGGGGAGGGAATCATACCTTCCCTTTCTGATGCTCTGCAAGAAGTTGATGCTCGAATCCCCTACCGGAGTATCATTTCTCCAAAGGCCACTGATGACCAAATTGCGGCAGAGCTTTACAAGTTGAAGGGAATGCAAACTCAGGTCTTCATTGTGCACATGCTACCTTCTCTTGGCTCTCGGCTTTTCGGCAAGGCAAATCAGATTGGCATGATGGAGGAAGGGTATGCTTGGATAATGACTGATGGAATTACCAACTCATTCAGTTACATAAATTCTTCTGTCATAGAAAATATGCAAGGGGTGTTGGGTATAAAAACTGATGTCCCAAATACAAAAGAGCTTGAAAGTTTTAGAGTTAGATGGAAAAGGAAATTCCAACAAGACAATCCAACTGTCCATGGTGTTAAACTTGATGTTTTTGGATTTTGGGCTTATGATGCTGCTTGGTCACTGGCCATGGCAGTTGAGAAAGTTGGGGCTAAAAACTTCAGCCTCCAAAAGATGAATAGGACATCTGGTAATTCTAGTACTACTGCTCTAAAAGGATTTGGGATCTCTCAAAATGGTCCTCAACTTGTCCAAGCACTATTAGCTACAAGTTTCAAAGGCCTTTCAGGAGATTTCAGTCTTCTTAATGGCCAACTACAATCATCAACTTTTCAGATAGTTAATGTGTTTGGCCATGGAGAGAAATTGGTTGGATATTCGACACCTCAAAATGGACTCGAAAGAAAATTAAATTCAACAAAAACAGGCAGATATTCTACTTCTGATATTAGTCTTGGATCCATTATATGGCCTGGAGATACCACCTCTGCTCCCAAAGGTTGGCAAATTCCTACAAGTGATACAAGGCTGAAAATTTGAGTCCCTGTACAGGACGGTTTTTCAACATTTGTGACTGTGACTTACGACCCTGGGACTAATACATCTACTGTCAATGGTGGATACTGCATAAATGTCTTCGAAGCTGTAATAAAATCGTTACCGTACACTGTTCCTTACGAGCTCTATCCCTATGCAAAGCCTAATGGTGAGGCCGCTGGCAGTTACAATGACTTGGTCAATCAAGTATTTCTTGGGGTAAGACTCTCATTCTCAGCTCTTTTTCCTTCTGTTTTTGTGTTTTTCTTTTGTGCCCTGAGTCACATTTTAACGTAGCAATTTAGCAAAGTTATCCGGTTTCTTCACTGACACAATGACATGTTTTCTTGAAAGAACTATGATCCTGCAGTGGGAGATATAACCATTAGAGCAAACAGGTCCTTATATGTTGACTTTACATTGCCATACACAGAATCTGGGGTGTTCATGGCTGTGCCTATCAAAGACAACAAAAGTAAGAAAGCATGGGTGTTCTTGAAGCCTTTGACATGGGAACTGTGGGTAACAAGCGGGTGTTCTTTCATATTCATTGGTTTTGTTGTCTGGATTCTGGAACATCGGATAAACAAAGACTTTCGTGGCCCTCCGGATCACCAAGTTGGCACAATCTTTTGGTTCACCTTCTCAACCATGGTTTTTGCACACCGTAAGTTCAAATGCCTCAAAGAGGAAAATCCAAAGTACAATGAGTAGTTTTTAACTTGTTCTTTTGAACTTTTGTAACAGGGGAGCGAGTGGTGAGCAACTTGGCTAGATTTGTAGTGATCCTATGGTGCTTTGTGGTTCTCATACTGACCCAAAGTTATACCGCCAGTTTAACATCTCTATTAACAGTTCAACAGCTCCAACCAACTGTTACTGATGTAAACTTGCTCATCAAGAATAGGAACAATGTTGCTTATCAAAGAGGCTCTTTTGTTTATGGGATTTTGAAACAAGTAGGCTTTCAGGATGAGAATCTTAAGACCTTTAATTCTGCAGAAGAGTTGAATCAACTTTTTCACAATGGTAGTAGAAAATATGGTATTTCTTCAGCTTTTGATGAAACACCCTACATGAAACTATTTCTTGCAAGATATTGCTCGAAATTCACCATGATTCCTCCAACATTTAAAGCCGACGGTTTTGGCTTTGTATGTTCACTTGCAACTTTGTCTCTCTCTAAATTGTTGATATCCACCATGTTTTCTCATCTGGGAATCTTTTGTAACTTGCAGGTCTTCCCAAAAGGTTCGCCTCTTGCCCGTGACGTTTCGAGGGCAATCTTAAATGTGAGCGAGGGAGAGAAAATGAAAGACATTGAGCGCATATGGTTCAAGAAAGAAGCAAGTTGTGCAGACCCCAACAGCCTGGTCTCTTCGAGTAGTCTCAGCCTTGATAGCTTTTAGGGCCTCTTTCTCATTACTGGGGTTGCTTCAGCATTTGCTCTGCTCATATGTGCTGCCATGTTCTTGCATGCGGAACGTCAGGAGATCTTGCAGCAACTAAGACGACTTGTTCCAGGAGCCTCATTGTGGACAAGAATTTGTGTTGTGTTAAGAATATACGACCAATGGGACCTCCGGTCGTATACTTTTCAGAATAATGGACTTGAAGCACCCGCTGCAGTTCTCTGGAGGTCCGCAGCGGATGCTCCAGCCGCAGGTGCTCCAGGAGGAGCTCCCGTTGGAGCACCTCTTGGTCAACCAGCCGGCGATATTGAGTTAATTAGTGACCATGAAATCATTAGATTGCCTGAGCAAGAAAGCAATTGATACAATGTCTTAGTGACACATAATAATTGGGTACAATTTTGAGAGTCAGTCCTTCAATATTTTCAAATAAACAAATACATTATCAGCCATATTGAATTCTTCCAACCCAACAATTTCTTGGAAATTAAGCTGCCTTGGCTTACAAATTTCTGCTTTTTCCTTTAAAGAATCTCGAATCTATTAATTAAATGGAAGTCAGATTTGTTGTTTAATATATCTTCTGCAATCTCAATCTAAATGAAGTCATCCTTTCTTACTATACTTGTAATCTTCCTATAATATTATTATAGGATTGATAAATAGAAATTTCTTACTTCCATCAATGTTTCAAGAGTCAATTCGAATTCTAAATAGAAAGTCAATCGTTGTTTAGTCACGCACAAAAACAAAAAATTAAATTTCAAGTTGATCACGACGCTTGTTTCTCTAGGTACCCTCATTATTCAATTCACATAAACGTAGCTTTAAATCTAGAAATTCCTCTTGTTGTTAATTATGTGTGATGTTTAATTTATTGTTCTGTTAGAAATTTCCCTTTGCTTTAATGCATAAAGCATGAGACCATACAATATGTAACAATTCAAAACCAAAAAGAAAAAAAGAAGTAAGAAGAGAAAAGAGTGACTGACATGTATTTGGAACATGAAACTTCTTTGTTATTCAATTGACACTATGGAAGATTGAATCAAACATGGTAACTCTTGAATACATAAGTATATATTCTCAATCAATTAAAATACAACTCTACTCGAAACATGTAACTGCAATCGTAGTCACCACCCCCACCACATACCGATCAGAAAAGTTGGAAACTATATCAGAATTCAATTTAACTCTCCATTTTCACCTTTGGAACAGCTCTAGACCTAATAAAGAATGTTGAGGTGCAAGCCATCATAGGTCCAGAAACATCAATGCAGGCCAACTTTGTAATCAGCCTTGGAAACAAAACCCACGTTCCCATAATCTCATATTCATTTAGCAACAATCCCATCTCTCACTTCAATCAGGAGTTCATACTTTTTCAGAGCTGCACAAAATGACTCATCTTAAGTGAAAGCCATGAGTGCCATCATCCAAGCCTTTGGCTGGAGAGAAGTAGTTGCCATCTATGTTGACAATGAGTTTGGGGAGGGAGTCATACCTTCCCTCTGATGCTCTGCAAGAAGTTGATGCTCGAATCGCCTACTGGAGTGTCATTTCTCCAAAGGCCACCGATGACCAAATTGTTGCTGAGCTTTACAAGTTTAAGGAAATGCTCGAATCGCCTACTGGTTTACTGTCATTCATTAATTTGTTGCACAAATTAAGAAAGGAGTTTTGATAAGTGAAAATATTACTATATACTACGTATATAGTACTACCTATATAGCGAGAGCAAGAAAATATTACTATCTATTATTGATAATTGAAAAGGAAATGAATTATAAACCTTGATTAAGCCAGTATATCCTAGTTACTCATTATTGCAGTGAGTAAAGAAATTATAAAATTCAGTTTAGAGTGTTGGAAGCTAAATTAGTGGATAATATTAATTATTCAAAACAAATGTCAGTTGAGTTTTGCCATCTCCTGGTGGATTTTCCACATCCTTATTTTTAACTTTTTGGAATTTTATATTACCTATTAATATTATTACTTTCTTTTCTTTTGGTTTTTTTGGTCCTGAATCTAACAAATACTCAATATTTCCATAAAATCAAATAAAATGTATATTTAATATTTCCTTTGACCTAATTTGATGTGAATATGTATATGCTGTGTGAGTTTGTTCATTTACCATGCAAGACAATACATGGTAGTATAATTAGTTGTTGCATGCGAAAACAGTTTTTGGGTTCTTCAGGTATATATTAATTACCAATCCAGAGACTCAAATGGGTTTCCATCCTAATGCAGTGCAGGTAGTCTGGAGTTGCAAATTCAATCATTAAAATTGACATCCATCCACTAGTCTGGAGTGGCTAGCTGATTCTGAAACAAAACATCTCTAACCATTAAACTTAAAATTCAAATACAGGGCCAGTGCGAAATGGTAAAAACCCAAAATATAAAAGCTAAAAGAAAGTAAATATCCAACGACGGCAGACTCAAACTTTAAGGAGCGGGAGCTAGACGACGCCTCTGAGAGCTGGCAGCTACGGCCTCCTGTAGCTCTCTCAAAATTGGTTTGGAGCAGCTGCAGGTTGAGTGGCTGCAGCGGCTGCAGGAGGTTGAGCGGATACAGGAAGAGCGGCTGCAGGAAGAGCCTCCCCAGCCTGATTCTCAGCTGGCACAGGCTCGTTGAAATTTGGGAATACCATAGTTCGGTGATGGTTAGGATGAGATACCACTTTAACCATGCATGCATGAGTTCATCTCTTATTTATACCTCTCCTTTTTTTTCCTTTTTTCAATTTTTCAGGGCAAGAGTGAAACACTTCAGACATTATCCGATCGAAACTAAGTCATGCATGTAGGGATGTCAACTAATAGAACTCCCAATCTATGTGGGAGCAAACAAGTTACCCAAATCTAAGCTAGTAAGCTAGCAACCTAAACTAGCTAATAATCAACTAAGGGTGGTGGGATTTAACCACTACAACTCCCAATCCACGAGGGAACCACACGTGAACTACCCAACCTATGGAAGAAGCTTGAAGACAAGAGCTCATGCCTATTTATAGTTGTTCTAGCGGACGTAGCTCACCGCCTTGGCTATATAATATTAGCTACACAATTATTCTAGACTATTCTCCAAGCTTCAATCTGCCAACTTGCTTAGCCTTCCATAATTCCTAGCCAACTTGCTTACTCAACCGACTTGTGCTTTTATACTTCAGTTTTCGTTTTCTATATATATATATATATATATTATTCTAGATATTTCTAGTGGTAACAGACATTGTCACCTTGTTGTTTACACTTTTGGTGCTTCTAGAACATTGTAGAGATTGTTCCTCAAAATGGGCTGAGCTGGGGTTGATATTTTAACATAGCTATGTTATTTGATTAATTATCATACAGCAATTATGAAAACTTAATAATTCTGTTCCACTAATTAATTGTGTTCTTGAGCTCCTTCATGACTTCTTCACATTTCTGGATATTCTTGACCAACAACAACCAGTAATATTCCTTCTCTGAAGAAAGGTGAGTTTGGATTTGTGTGGTTTGAATGGCCAATCGACTCAGGGCTTGGTGGGCTTGGTGGGCGCGTGCTGTTATTGTTTGGTGAAGCCTCGACACATGTGGCTATACTGCCAGCATTGTACATGTAATTTCCATCTTGAGAGCCAGTCTTTCTAAAAGTATGGGAGCTGAGGTCTTTTTGGTCGAAGATTCTAAGCATCACCTTGATTCTTTTCCATGCAGAAGTTCCTGTTGTCATGACCATGTGCCAATGCCTATAACAGAAGGAGGCTGCAAATATGATGAGAGATAGTGATGAAGAGACCCCGGCAATGAGGAAGAGACCCCAGAAGCTATCAAGGCCAATACTGTTGGAATCTGAGATGGTGGGTTTTGTATCTAAACATGTTGCATTTCCCGCAAACCATTTGTTTTCAATTTCCTTCATGACGTCTCCCTCAGTCACATTCAGAATCGCCCTCGAAACGTCTGGTACTAAAGGTGAACCTTTGGGGAAGACCTGGTACATTCGTACAAAAGAAGAAACATTAACTGACGCCACGTACGCATGTGATACAAATAGCGTTATTCATGTGTTAATAATGTGGTGTGCAATGTGTTATACAAGAATGTGCTCATGGAGCGTTACTTGTGAGAGAAGTAAAGAGAGAGAGCTTACAAAACCAAAGCCATCAGTTTTGAATATTGGGCCAATCATGGTGTATTTGGAGCAATACTTTGCAAGAAAAAGCTTCATGTTGGGGGTTTCATCAATAGCGGCAGCAATGCCGCCATTTGCACTCCCGTTTGTCAAAAACTCATAGCATTCATCTGGAGATTTATAAGGCCTCAACTTGTTAGGATCAACACCCCTTTGGATCAGAAGCTCACGGACAAAAGATCCTTCGGAGTACCCGATATACTCCTTGATCTTTATAAGATCGCCCAAATTGGAAAAAGTTGGCTGAAGTTGCTTAACTGTTAACAGTGAAGTTAAACTTGCTGTGTAACTTTGAGTCAGTATCAGCACTACAAACACCCACACGATCACCACAAACCTTGACAAGTTGCTAACCACCTTCTCCCCTGTAAATTAATTCAAGTAAAAATTGATGAAAAAACAATTAATTGTGGAATTATAAGCATAAACATGAAACATGATGAGGTTGTGGTACTTACGCTGTGCAAAAACCATGGTTGAGAAAGAGAACCAAAAGCTTGTGCCGATTTGGTGGGAGGGAGGGCCACGAAATTCTTCGTTAATACGGTGTTCAAGAACCCAAACAGCGAAACCAATGAAGATGAAAAAGCACAAACTTGCGAGCCAGAGGTCCCATGTCAAAGGCTTCAAGAAAATCCATGCATTGCTCTTGCCGTCTTTCATTGGCACCACCATCACAACCCCTGATTCTGTGTATGGCAATGTGAAGTCCACATACAAAGACCTGTTTGCTCTAATTGTTGTGTCTGCGGCCAGTGCATCGAAATTCTGTTGAACAAATAAACAAGCCAAAATTTCAATTTCAGCAGATTATAAGTACTTCAAGTGATCATGAAGACTGAAATCATTGAAGAAAATGAAGTTCACATTAATTCGACATACCCCGAGAAAAACTTGTTGGACCAGATCATCGTAGCTGCCAGCACTTGAGCCATCAGGCTTTGCAAAGGGAATGAAGTCATAAGTAACAGCATATGGTAATCCAGCCATTGCAGCATTGAAGACGTCAATACAGAATCCGAAAACTTCGGTTGTGTTAGTGCTAGGACCAGGCACCACCTTCACAAACTCAGCAAAAACATCAATTGCAGGAACTCCTACTCTCAATCTTTTGCCGTTTGTGGGGATCTCCCATCCCTTGGGAACAGAGGGAGAGTCCCCTGGCCATAAAATAGGTGCCAGATTAGATTTAGAGGTTGAATATGGACCGTTTGTGTTTGTCAAATTCAATTTTTTCTCAAGTCCACCTTGTGGTTTCCAAAACCCAATTGTTTTTGCTCCATTCCCAATCACATTCACCAATTCAAAAACGGAATTTTGTAATTGCCCATCAACAAAGCTGAAATCCCCAGAGAGGCCTCTAAAGTTAGTGCTTGACAAGGATTGGCAAAGTTCTGGACCGTTTTGGGAAACCCCAAAATATTCAAGATCAGTTGATGAGTTGGTTGAAGCATTCGCCTTTTCGAAGCCAAAGTTTTTAGTCCCAACATTTTCAACTGCCATGGCTAATGCAAAAGCAGCATCATAAGCCCAGAGTGCACGAACATCTAACTCAGCATCAATTATGGTTGGATTGTCCTTTTGGAATTGGCTTTTCCATCGAGCTCTAAAATCGACAAGCTCTTTTGTTTGTGGCACATAGGTCCTCACACCCAATGCGCCTTGCAGTGAATTGATGACTGAAGCATTCATGGTAGTTAAATGATTGGTCATTCCACTAGCCATGATCCAAACATAGTCTCCATCCATCATATCCATCTCTTGTGCCTTGGCGAAAAGGCGAGAGCCAAGAGAGGGCAACACGTGCACAATGAAGACTCTAGTTTGCATGGTCATTAGCTTGTAAAGCTCAGCAACAAGTTGGTCATCAGTTGCCTCTGGAGGTATGGCGCTTCGGTAAGGGACCTTAGCTTGAACTTCTTGCAAGGCATCTACCAAGTAGGGTATGACTCCCTGGCCATACTCGTTGTCTATATAGATGGGGACAGCTTCCCTCCATCCAAAGGCTTGGACAACAGCACTTATGGCCTTGACTTGGGAAGAGTCATTTTGTGCAGCTCTGAAAAAATATGAACTCCTAATGGAAGTGAGGGAAGGACTCGTTGCTGAAAATGAGATTATGGGCACTTGAGCTTTGTCTCCAAGCTCAATTACAAAGTTGGCCTGCATCGATGATTTCGGTCCTAGGATTGCTTGTACTTGATCATTCTTTATCAGGTCTAAAGCTGTTTGATCAATACCAAAAATACAAGTTTAAAAAAAAGGGACAAGAACTTAATTACTATGCTTCTTTTCATTTAAAAAATAGTCTTATCAAATGAATAGAAGGGTCAAACTTATATAGATGGCAAGAAGAATCAAATTGTTGAAAATTCAAAATGAAAAGCAAAGGAGAGAGAGAGAGAGAGAGAGAGAGAGAGAGAGAGAGAGACCTGCAGCAGCAGCACCTACAACATCTTCTCTGGAGTCTCTGATGCTTAAAGCCAGCCTAGTTGTAGAGGAACCATGAGAGGTATAAAAGTCTGAGAGGCCCAAGTTGATGCAGCTCAACCAAACTTTTGTGTTTGGTGAATCAAGGTCATCAAGAACCACACCAACATTCACTGGGATTGTTGTTCTGTTCTGTCCCCTGACAACCAAGGAAAATTCAATGCTTAAACAAACAAGGAAGAAGAAAGAACCAAAGAGGTTGGTTGCTTTCCCCATCTTCATGTTTCTATCTGTTTTCGCAAGCTTCAATGATATTTTTCAATCCAAAGAGGCTTATGCATACATATATTTATAATGGAAGGATGGTTGACCAAATACTAGGATCCAAATTTCTGACTCAAATTAAGTAATTGTATACGAAAAATTAATTACGAAATACAGGATTAATCATTTGATTATATATAGCAATTTCTTGCTAAACTTGTCGGTCTTAACAATGTGTTCTCAAGAATCTTGAATCTTGAATCTTGACCAAATCAAAGTACTAACTAACACGTGATAATATTGAGAGAGATACTGAGCTGTTCATACCAAGTCAAAGAATTGGTTTATGAACAGCACAGTATCTCTTTCGTTTTCTTAATCTCCCTGAGCTTCTGGAAAGCATTGGGATATTTAGATGGCCTAAGTAGTTGTCAAGGTTAAGCAATTGGTCAGTGTTTTTTATTTTTAGCTAATATGTAGTATCTTTTGAGGAAATTTTCAACTGTGAGAGAGACTTCATCGGAATGCCGCCGTTGACCTGTAGACAATGACTACATGCTGCCCTGTTCCAACTCAGTTTCTTTCAATCTTTTTCAAGGGTATATACTTGGAATTTATGTGATCATTGGTGTATATTATAAAATATTTTATAATATTTTATAGATACTCCAGAGTTGCATTCTCAACTTAAGAATATCTGCTTAATGTTAATATCTACATGGTTTTAGCCTCATCACTAATCACTACTACTCACACCTATCGACGCATGAAAGCTGGCATGATAAATGTATTGGCAGGTTAAAATCCATTTGTAGCCGAATTATGAATGTAATTTTCACTTGATTAAAAAAGATTCAAGTTTTAGCTGGCAAAGGATGAAAGTGTTTTATGGTGAGAGAAAATACTCTAAATTCCAAGTTTCTCGGTTTCTAACCGTGATTGTGAAGCCTCAACTTCAACACCCAAAATCTTCTAAATTATAATCTTTTGTTTCCCTTTCTAAATTCTAGTTTTGAGTGTTGAAAATGAGAAAATTGAAGAGAAATATTACTTTGAAAGGTTCAGCGGAAAAGAATTGAAGTTAATTCATTCAACAGTTTGAAGTTTGAGGAGGAATTGAAGTCAAGTCATAGTTTTTACTTGTAACTATAAACTTAAGTTATAAAAAGTAAGGAACTTTTCAGTTGCTGAGCTCACTTGCCTGACTGTTCATAATGATTATATTAATCAAAGACGGGAAATTTAATTAAGACACTCGAACGAAAATAAGTAATTTACTGGGATCCTTTTTTTCTTTTAAATATTTTTCCCCGATTTTTCGTTTATCAATAAGAATAGTTTAAGACACCTAGAGTAATTGCCCGTATAAAAAATTTAGCACTTTCACGTTTAATAGTATACATGTACGTACTTATTTTTCATGTTTAATACACGTATGTTTAACAAAAGTTTCAATAAGACACACAAAATTAACGTATTATACAAATAATTCTCACATATCATTGAATAAAAATAATATATATTACAATATTATATAGTGACCTAACTTTTAAGTTGTAAAGAGGTCCTCTATAATTTTATTTTTCTTTTTAAAAATAGTACAGCCGGGCGGCTGTAATCTTTTTTTTATTTTTTCTGTAAAAATCTGTTTTTCTTTTTCTTTTTCTTTTTTTTTAAAAGTATAGCCGGTCGGCTGTACTAGGTTTTTTTATTTTTATAAATAGTATAGCCGAGCGGCTATACTTACAAGGGTCCCCTTTTTGGCGTGTTTAAACAGTATAGCCGCACGGCTATACTTGGTTTTTTTTAAAAATAATATAGCCGGGCGGCTGTACCCATTTTTATATTTTTTTAAATGAGCAAAAACCTCTCCCAACGAAATATCGCCGGCAGAGGTCTATGCCGGCAAACTTTTGCTGGATTAGACATCTCCTAACAAAAGTCACCTCTGCCGATGAAACTTCATCGAGAAAAGACTAATCCTTTATTTTTCGCATGAATAGACATGTGCGGACAAAATTACGTCGGAACAGATTTTTTCTTTAAAAAAAATAAATAAATGTAAACTTAGTATGTTTAGGTTAATTAATTCAAGTTTTAGCTGGCAAAGGATGAAAGTGTTTCATGATGAGAGAAAATATTCTAAATTCTAAGTTTTTTGGCTTCTAAGTTATTTTCGTGATTGTGAAGCCACAACTTCAACACCTAAAATCTTCTAAATTATAATCCTTTGTTTCTTTTCTAATTCTAGTTTGAATTGTTGAAAATGAGAAAATTGAAGAGAAATATTACTTGGAAAGGTTCAGCGGAAAGGAATTGAAGTCAATTCATACAAGCGTTTGAAGTTTGAAGAGGAATTGAAGTCAAGTCATAGTAACAGTAGCAACTGACTTAGATGTGCTAATTAACTCATTAAAGATTCAGTTGCTGAGCTTGGCGTGCTTTGAATTGTAACTAAAAAATTAAGTTATAAAAAGTAAGGAACCTTTCAGTTGCCGAGCTCACTTTTCCTGACTGTTTATAATCATTATATTTAAATGCGTCTTGATCATGGTTACCGTTTATAATAATAATAACGATTTGTGACAAGAAAACAGAAATGCTCTCTTTGTCAACTACTTTCATATAAATATAGGAGAATGCTAGCAACCTTCTCTCTAACATTCTTCTTTGGACATTCTCCTTTTTTTGCTTGACATGTGTCATTCTTCTTACATTTAAAACAATATCATTAATATATTATACAAGCTAACTTTTGCTATCCAAGTTATCCTGATTAAATATATTCAATTTATTCAAAAAAAAATTCACAACTTTCTTACCATCTTATTAAAACAATATCATTAATAAAATTCATACGCCTTGTCATCTGAATGGAATTTCATTTCACTAAAGTCTATGTCTTCATTAATAAAGCTTGCACTCTTAAATATATTAGTGTTATCTTGACTCAGACCATCAACATCTTCTTCGGGCAAATTCAAGTCAATCTCCCATGGACACCTAACAATATAGGCTTGAGATAAAATATATAAAAGTAAAAGAATAAAAAATCACCAAAATCGAATTCAATATGAAAACATAAATATATTACAGTTTAGATTAACAAAAGAAAAGCCAAAGAAATAACCATCAACCTAAGATAACACTTCCAAAAGATATCAATTTTTAGCACAACAATACATCAGAAATGAAAAAACCATACCTTTGACCAAGACTTGGAGCCAGAGAAGCTGAAGAATATGCTTTAGCTTTTATGGTTGAGCCTAAGAGTTGAAAAGTCAGGAGCATAGATAAAGCAAAGAGAAGACGATTTAGCTTCAACCAATGGCAAATATGGAAATATAATTATTAATTTTTCTGTAATTAATAGCATTGTTTTATGTATAAGGGGGTGACACATGTCAAAGAAAAAAAAAGGGTCAAAAGGAGAAGGTTAGAGAGAAAGTTGCGAGCATTCCCCATAAATATATCCAGTCTTGTGTTCAAATCTCCTGCACCAGAAGTTCTGTATTCGAATCTCCTGCATCTGAAATTTTGTGTTTGAATCCCTACACTCCAGGTTCTATGTTACTCCTCCAACATCGTTTGTATCAAGAAAAAAAATTCTCATGTCTTTAAAATTAAAGTTAATGACAAACTACATAAAACCCCCTAAATAGTATAGTCATTTTCAAGTTCATACCCAATTTTAGAGATATTTACGAGTATATATTCAAACTCCCAAAAAACCTATAAATTGCCTTATCCGTTATACAAACCGTTAATTAATCGATTAAATGCTTACTTGTCAAATGTATGACCCATTTTTTAATGAATGGACTTCCATGTAGATAAAATAATAATATTAAATTCTTTAATTTTTAAGAATTAAAATAATTAAAATTTAAAAATCAAAAAGAAAAAAAATCTCTCCATCACTCTCCTCCTAACCCTCCCCCTAGCACGACTTAGCCAGCCACCCAAATCAGCATCCCAGCAGCCCAAACAACCACCTCAGCCAGCCAAACCACCACCCACCACCCATTTTGTTGTCAATTTCATCAACGGCCAGGGAACGCCAAGGGCCTATGCCATCGTCGACTTCGGCAGGCAGCGGGGGCACGAACCATGACGAAGCAGAGAGATCTTGGTATAAGACCCAAAAGAGAGCATGGAAAGATTGTACCCAACAGGTGTGGAACCCAAAGAAAACAACTCAAGAGCAAAAGGGTAAGCAGGGAATTCGATTACTCTTGAGGACTTGGTCAAAAGATTGAAGACAAGAAAGGAATTGGAGAGAGAGAATCAGAGTAGAGTCATAGAGAGCGAAGTGGTTGTAACACTGAGGGTGAGAAAGCAAGAGGAAAGAAGAGAAGGGTGAAGAAGAGGAGTGCTTGGAGATCAATGAGGGAGAGAATAACAGAGACTTGAAGTGCTTACAAGTCAATCTCAGATTCATGAAGTTTTTGAGAGGTAGAAAAGAGAGAATACGCTCGAGGAGTTCCTGTAGTTGCTTGCTCCATAATCCGGCGTCCATCTCCGGTGGGATAATCGGAGATTTGGAGATGGTGATGGGTTGGATTTATATGAGCAATAAGTTGTGAATCCAAAATTTCAACTTTTAATTTGATTGTCTTTGTTATATTGTGCTACATATGAAAAGATTTGAACTTCTCGATATTGTAGAAATTAGGTTTAGTTATTTAATCTTCTCTGTCTCTCTCTCTTGGACCTCCACTAGCCCAGTCACAAAGTCATAGCCCATTGGTAGCCAGCAACCATTAGTGGAGTTCTATGCTCAGGAACAAAGTTTCGAGCCTTTCTGATTGCTATACCACAATCCAAACTCATTGACTAAAGAAGCATCCTTATCAATCAATTGCTTAAAGCCTTCAACATCATTATCAAAAGCAAATGTCAAAATCTCATATTTGAAAAAAATAAAAGAATTGTTTATTATATATTTTGGCCACATGGAATTCATGTCATAAAAAATTAGGGGTTACATTTGCCACATCAATATTTAACAGATTAACTAACGGTTTGGCTAACGGAGCGGGTTAAATTGTATGGTTTCCAGGAATTTGAGTATGTGCTCGTAAATGTCTCTAAAATTGAAAATGACCCTATAATTCATTTTTTATACATGATTTATCATGTCAGTCGTCCAATATTTTGAGTTAGTTGTTGACATTTTATAGTTTTTTCTTTCTTTCTTTTTGTGTTTTTATAGATTTTACCTTGATTGGAATAAATGTGAGCCAAAGTGCATTATTGAATATAAATTCCGGTTTTACTAGGTCAACTTCTTGAGCCAAAGGATCATATGGATTTAATTATTCATCATTTTCCCTATTTTGCACAGTGTAATAGATTAATCATTTGCATTAATCCGTGTATACGCCTTCTACCTCCCCTGCTTTGTCGTCTATATTTTTTCTCCCTTTATTTGATGAACTCCTCAAATTCAAACACATGCCTTGTTCAAATTATTTACACATGCCATAGACTATATTAATTCAAACACAATATATCATATAGAATACATGCCATCAGTGACGTATTCATGAATTTTCTTGAGAATAGGCGACATTTAAAAGGCTAAAAGCTCAAAATAAATACCCAAGTTATTTGAAGGAGGATTTGAACTACCCGAATTATTCGAATGGGGATTTAGGGTTTAGGATTATACAAAGATAACCTAATCATAAAACAAAAATAATATCTCTAAAAAAAACAACAATATTAAAATACATATTATAAAAGGGTTATGCTATTTAGACACACAACATTGACCACCTTAGCTAACCAACTTATGTGGCAACTGATGTGTCATGCCATGTCACTTCTGGATTATTGAAAAGAGAATAAATAAAAAATAGAATACACATGGCAACATTCATTAATTGAAAAGAACACATATGAAAAGAAAAAAAGACACATTCCATCGAATTAAATTATATCTTTAAAAAATAAAAATAAAACTCGTGGCATTAATAATATTTATAAAAAATTAAAAAATAAAAAACAAAAAAATAAAAATAAAAAAAAAAAAAAAAAAAAAAAATACATTCAAACTTGGAGGAGAGGGATGGGTCTGCAGCAAGACTCGAGCACCCAAAGCTTCGTGAAGAATCAAGACTTCAATGCAAGGCATCCCTTGGTCCATTTAATTCCATTTTTTTTTTTTTTTTTTTTGTTAAGAAAAGTTGATCAATTGCATAGAATATTAAGTGTGGCTACAATCTTGAATGAGGAGATCCTGAAGAAGCTCAGGGCCTCACCAAACCAAAAACAATCTTGAAGCAAACAAAGCAAGCATGTTGGCAATGCGATTACAAAGCTTAGGCACATGGGCCACAGAAGCTGACTGGAATTGTGAGAGGAGCTCACCACAATCATCAATCAAAACCTCCGTAACAGAACCAAATGAGATACCCTGCGAAACAGCCGCAGCAATCTTGAAAGAGCCACACTAGAACTGAACCAGTTGGAGATTCAACTCAGCAGTCAAACTCATGCCCGCCAGCAATCATTTAATTCCAACTTGGACTCCAAGACCATGCTCTTCCTTTCTATGGAAATAAGGCTTCAGGTTTGCTATTTAATTTTTTTTTATTGGCCTGGCCAAAATGACGTCGTTTGGCCAGAACTTAAAAAAACAAAACAAGCGCTCAGCATCGCAACAAAGAAAAGAATAGGTTGCTGGGTTCCTGTTGCTAAGGCATGGGCACCTCCAAAGGAGAGCTGAGGGGCAAACTTCGGCGACTTCAAAGCTTTTTCCAACGAAGAAAAGTGTAGCTGCACCTCCTTGCGTCTCTGTGGATCCACCAGTACATACCATATAATATATAATATATATTCAAACACATGTTATAGACTATGTTATACCTCGGCCAAATTTATGGCGACACCACCACAAGACCCAACAGGTCCAAAGCGCCAAACTCAAATGTGTTGTTCTCTATTAAAGCTTACATTACATGGATAATCCAAACTCCATCTCCAGCTTTGTCAACAAGGTCATTGGCTCTCTGCCAGTTGTTGGGTTAATAACAATATATATATATATATATATATTATCAAATTCAAACACATGCTTTGCTTGAATTGAATTAATAATTCCAAAATAATCTTGTAAAATTTCAATTGAATACACTTCCTTAGGCCATCTCCAACCATGTTGGGGCTAAACTCAAATTTCTACCTGCCAAAATACAACTATTCATGTATTTTTAGGACTCAAATTTTTTTTTCCTCAAATCTTGCAGACTCATAATTTGAGTCTGCAACTTTATTAAATTGTTTAAGAATGATTAACCCCTAAATTTTTTTTCTTGTTAATTTTTCTTGACATTATTTTTATTTCAACACTCGTGATTTAATTTTCTAAACATTTTAACCTAAAAAAATTAAAATTCCAAAACATAATAGAATTTCACTTTTTTTTAAATTAAAAAAAAACAAATCAAATTTGTTTTGAAAATATAGTTGTTGCCCAACAAGATTGAAATGTGCACTAGCTTTATTTGCATGCCCAAACAGAAATATCAGCAGACCCAGCAATGTTGGTCAGCACGTGGGCTTCCAGCCAAGAAAAAAAGAATAAAAAATAGATTTTGGGCCTACAAAAAATATGAGTCCAGGCAATATTGGGACTGGAATTCCATCCCAAATTTGAGATTTCTCAAATTTTCACCCCCCAAAGTACATGGGTTGGAGAAGTTTTTTAGACTCAAAACTCAAAATTTGAGTTTCCACCCCTTGGGTTGGAGATGGTCTTAGAGCCTTTTCATCGGACAGCCCTTGCCAGGGCAATAGGGGGCCCAAGCCCCATTTTATGATTCCAACGGCCTTAAGCTGCCATGGCAGTTATTGGGGCCCACGAAATCAGGCCAGCCCTCAGGCAAAATGAGCCCAAGCTCAAGCCTGGGTTTGCTAACGTTAGCAATGACGTCAGCAACAAAAAAATTTCAGATTTTTTTTAAAATAAATACTTAGTCATATTTTTCACTTCCCACACCAAAACTCTATACAAATTTCTCTCATCATATCTCATGTGAATAGTTGTTACCATGGCAATGGGCGGAAACACCACAATTTTTTGCAAGGGCGGCCACTATTCACATGAATAGTAATTGCCCTAGCCCCCCTAGCTCTTGGCCATAACAAATGGGTGGAATTGCTCTTAGCGTCAAACAAAAAAGGTTCTAAATTTCTAAATGATAAAGATTCAAATTGCACGGTTGCCACTTTCTCCCATCTGGTTGGTGCACTCATCTCTGTCAATTTAAGTCGCTATTTTCAAGTTTCAATGTGTTTAATTAGTTAGAAGTTGATGTGATTGGAGGCTCTGACCAACCCAATAATTTCTTGGAAATTACGCTGCCTTGAGTTACAAGTTTTAGCCTTGTCCTCTAAGGAATCTCGAATCTATTAATTAATTGGAAGTCAGATCTCTTCCGGAATCTCAATCTAAATGAAGTCATCATTTCCTATTGTTCTTATTAGACTTTGCTTATTCTTCTTCGTTTTTTCTTTTTTTAATTTTCTTTTTTGACTTTATTTACCATTAATTTTGGTTATACCCGTATTCACATGTACTAGTCTTTCTTAATCTAAGCTAAGACTTCATTTGTTAATCACCTGTAATCTTCCTATAATAATATATTTGGCCCTTAGCAGCAAGGTACGCATATTTACTTCTTTAATTATGTCTGGTTGTTAAATTTACATCAACGATGACATATGACGTCTACATTTGCATTTGCTGTTATGTTCCTTGTAGGCATCAAGATTTTTTTGAAAATGAGAGACTGCGATGCATGAGAGTGTTGGAATATTAATATGGTGGAACTGTAATTGCGCAGAAAATTTCACTTTGTCCCTTCCAAGGATTGGAAATTTCATAGGCATTGGTTTAGACAATGATAGAGTGAAATTGATAATGACCTTGACAAGACCATGACCACAAGGCAGAATAGTAAATCCAATTTCATTTGCTTTTCCAGCCACTCAACCCCCCTTCGATCACAAGAAATTTCTTAGTTAATTATATAATTCCATCAATGTTTCAAGAATCAATTCGAATTCTAAATAGAAAGTGAACCGTCGTTGTTTAGTCACGCACAAAAAAACAAAATTAAATTTCAAGTTGATCACCATGCTTGTTTCTCTAGGCACCCTCATCATTCAATTCACATAAAGTATGCTAGAAATTTCTCTTCTTGTTAGTTATGTGTCGTGTTTAATAATTATTCTTCTATTAGGGTAGCTCTTAATTAGTACTTTTCTGGGTGCTGGCTTTTGGTGCCTTGTGGTTGGGATCTTTTCCCTTTTATGGTTCTTGTGGGACTCGTCCTCTTGCTTCTTGCTCCTCTTTGATTTAATGCATAAAGCATGAGACCATACAATATGTGACAATTTAAAATCAAAAACAAAAACAAAAAAGGAAGAAAAGGGTGAGGTGTGTTTGGAACATGTAACTTTTTTGTTATTCAACCGACATCAAGAAAGATTGAATTGAACACGATTCGAATACATAAATATATACTCTTAATCAATTGAAATACAACTCTACTCGAAATATGTAACTGCAATTATGTTTTTTGACAAGAAAGATGAAGAAATCGTAGTTACCACCCCCACCACATACCGATCAGCAATGTGTGTACTCTATCTCTCTTCCTTTGGGACAAACTGAAGGCAATATGCATGAATATTTGATTTAGTCAAAGCTAGAGTTTGAATAACAGAATATAAGACAAATGTGGAAAATCAACTTTTATTTTCCTCGGGAAGAAAAGGGTGCACAATAATATCTATGCCCCGTTTAAATGGACCAAAATAATCAGTCGAGCATTGACAATTCGACATTGACTAGTTAAATAAGGACAGCAGACTTAAATACATTTTTGGGACATAGCTACACCTACATGCTAAACCACAGGCACAACCAATGGAGTGTAGATTCTTCTTTCACTTGTATTATTCTATATGATTAATAACCCAGTTGAGCATTTTCAATCTACTCTGGCTTTGTCTATATAAATAAAAACTCCATCTGACTTGGAAGTCATGAATTGCAAACCTTGAAGAATTTCGACAATGGCCAAGAATGCTCCCTTCAGCTCTGTTTTTTCTCTGTTTTTCTTGTTCTTTGTGCTTGGGAAATTTTCCGCCATGGCAGAAAACACAACGATCCCAGTTAATGTGGGTGTGGTTATTGACTCTGATACATGGTATGGGAAGATGGGGCTGAGCTGCATCAGCATGGCTCTCTCTGACTTCTATGCCTCTCATTCTAGCTACAAGACAAGGCTGGTTCTGCACAAAAGAAACCCTACTTCAGATGTTGTTGTTACAGCTTCTGCAGGTTCTTTCCATCTCTCTCTCTTATCTTTTTTCATGTTTTGTTTTTGTTCCATCGAATTAAATTCTATCCACCCTTCTATTTTAATCAATCATTTTGGAGTTTCAATTTTGGAGCTTCATTTCTTTACATGAGAGTTTCAACACCTGTTGATTTTGGTGCTATGTTGTCTGGAATTATTAGAAAGTTAACATCCTTTTGCATTGAATTTTGGCTTTCTTAGAATCTGCTACATTTCTTTTCTGTCCACTGACTCATTTAAAGTTGGAAAACTATATCAGAATTCAATTTAACTCTCCATTTTCACCTTTGGAACAGCTCTAGACCTAATAAAGAATGTTGAGGTGCAAGCCATCATAGGTCCGGAAACATCAATGCAGGCCAACTTTGTAATCAGCCTTGGAAACAAAGCCCAAGTTCCCATAATCTCATATTCAGCAACAAGCCCATCTCTCACTTCAATCAGGAGTTCATACTTTTTCAGAGCTGCACAAAATGACTCAACTCAAGTAAAAGCCATGAGTGCCATCATCCAAGCCTTTGGCTGGAGAGAAGTAGTTGCCATCTATGTTGACAATGAGTTTGGGGAGGGAGTCATACCTTCCCTCTCTGATGCTCTGCAAGAAGTTGATGCTCGAATCGCCTACCGGAGTGTCATTTCTCCAAAGGCCACTGATGACCAAATTGTTGCTGAGCTTTACAAATTGAAGGAAATGGAAACTCAGGTCTTCATTGTGCACATGTTTGCTGATCTTGGTTCTCGGCTGTTCGACAAGGCGAAACAGATTGGCATGATGGATGAAGGGTATGCTTGGATAATGACTGATGGAATCACCAACTCATTTAGTCACATAAATTCCTCTGACATAGAAAATATGGAAGGGGTGTTGGGTATAAAAACTTTTGTCCCAAATACAAAAGCGCTTGAAAGTTTTGGAGTTAGATGGAAAAGTAAATTCCAACAGGACAATCCAACTGTCCATGATGTTAAGTTGGATGTTTTTGGATACTGGGCTTATGATGCTGCTTGGGCACTGGCCATGGCAGTTGAGAAAGTAGGGGCTAAAAACTTCAACTTTCAAAAGATGAATAGTACATCTGGTAATTCCAGTACTGATCTAGAAAGATTTGGGGTCTCTCAAAATGGTCCTCAACTTGTCCAAGCGCTATCAGGTACCATTTTCAAAGGCCTTTCAGGAGATTTCAGTCTTTTTAATGGCCAACTACAATCATCAACATTTCAGATAGTTAATGTGATTGGCAGTGGGGGAAAATTGGTTGGATATTGGACACCTGAAAAGGGGCTTGAAAGAAAATTAAATTTGACAAACACAAGCACATATTCTACTTCTAATGTTAGTCTTGGATCAATCGTTTGGCCTGGAGATACCACCTCTGCTCCAAAGGGTTGGCAGATTCCTACAAGTGGTAAAAGGCTGAAAATTCTAGTCCCTTTAAAGAAAGGATTTTCAGAATTTGTGAAAGTGACACACAATCTTAAGACTAAAACAACGATCATCGATGGATACTGCATAAGCGTCTTCGAAGCTGTAATAAAATCGTTACCGTATGATGTTCCATATGATTTATATCCTTATGTAAAGCCTAATGGTGAGATTGCTGGCAGTTACAATGACTTGGTCAATGAAGTGTTTCTTGGGGTAAGATTCATATCTAAGCTTCTTTGTTTTCCTTAATCTAACAAAACAAAACTATCCAAATTATTTACTGACACTGACATTTTTTTTCTTGAAAGAACTATGATGCTGCAGTGGGAGATATAACCATCAGAGCAAACAGATCCTTATATGTTGACTTTACATTACCATACACAGAATCTGGGGTGTCCATGATTGTGCCTATCAAAGACAACAAAAGCAAGAATGCATGGGTGTTCTTGAAGCCTTTGACATGGGATCTTTGGGTAACAAGCGGTTGTTTTTTCATATTCATTGGTTTTGTAGTCTGGGTTCTTGAACATCGAATAAACGAAGACTTTCGTGGACCTCCACATCACCAAATTGGGACAAGTTTTTGGTTCTCCTTCTCAACCATGGTTTTTGCACACAGTAAGTTCTTTCATCTTAGTTTACTCTGCAACCCAACAACCAAATCAAATACTTTTCCATTGTAAATTATCCTTCAAAAAAGTAAATCCCAAATGGTAAAATGACTTCCATGACTCATTGTTCATTCCTTTCTTATTTTGAATTACAGGGGAGCGAGTTGTGAGCAACTTGGCTAGGTTTGTGGTGATCATATGGTGCTTTGTTGTCCTGATACTGACTCAAAGTTACACTGCAAGTTTGACCTCTCTTTTAACAGTTCAACAGCTCCAACCAACTGTTACTGATGTAAACTTGCTCCTCAAACATAAGGACAATGTTGCCTATCAACCAGATTCTTTTGTTTATGGGATTTTGAAAGAACTAGGATTTCAGGATGAAAATCTTAAGCCCTTTAATACACCAGAAGAGTTGAACCAACTTTTTCAAAATGGGAGTAGAAAATATGGCATTTCTGCAGCATTTGATGAAACACCCTACATGAAACTGTTTCTTGCAACATATTGCTCCAAATACACCATGGTTGATCCGACATTTAAAGCCGATGGTTTTGCTTTTGTAGGTTCACCTGCTTTTTCTCCTTTATATCTCTCTTTGATGTTGATCCACCATGTTTTCTCATCAGGGATTGTTTTGTTTCCTTCGATTCTACAACTTGCAGGTCTTCCCAAAAGGCTCCCCTCTTGCTCGCGACGTTTCACAGGGAATCTTAAATGTGAACGAGGGAAACCAAATGAAAGTCATTGAGGATAGGTGGTTCAAGAAAAAAAATTGTGTAGACCCCAACAGCTTGGTCTCTTCCAATAGTCTCAGCCTTGAGAGCTTCTGGGGCCTCTTTCTCATTGCTGGTGTTGCTTCAACACTAGCTCTGCTCATCTTTGCTGCCATGTTCTTGTATGAACACAAGGAGATCTTCAAGCAACTCGATCCAGAGGCCTCATTGTGGAAAAGATTTCTTATCATGTTAAGAATTTACGACAACAAGGACCTCAAGTCGTTTACTTTTAAGAAGAGAGAACTTGAAGTTAACACCAACTTCCACCCAAGCCCATCAGTCTATTCAGACCATACTGAAGCACGCAATGTGTTTGGGGAGCAGATGAGATCACCTTCTTCTGCTGATCTTGAGCATGCTGGTTTCAGTCCTGGAGCATCAACCAGCAGATCAGAGATGGAATTAGCCATTGAGATTACTGAGAGACCAAGAACTCATGAGATTGACCCAGGAAGCAACTGATGCAGCTTCTTTGTGACACGTAACTCTGTATTAATTTATACAAGTATCACCGTAAATTGTATAGTGTGGGGGGAATTATTGTAAATTGGTTTAGAAATAACATGATTAGCTCAGAGCTCAGAGCTCAGTGTAAGCAAAAACTACTGCATATCTCAACAATAGATGACAGCCTAATCAGTTTATCTCTTTCTTTTTGGTAAAATGTCTTTACATACACTTGTTTAAGCGTGAAGAGCAGATTAAACGGGTGGCTGCATCTCTCCTTATGGGCTTGGGCCTATATACTAAAACATAACCTAATCTAATTGTGTTTTTATTTCTACCCTCAGCTTTATATCAAGGCATATATTATATGGCGAAATTCTGCTCCAGCATCCAATTGCGTAGTCGCTAACAGGGTTTGGTATAGAAATTGTAGGACAAGCCCTTCATTTTATTCCATAATCAGCTACAAGTTTTCCTCGAAATTTATCTTTCTAACCATTACCGATATTATATATATTTGTCTTTTTTGGTATTTTCTTCCCTTATCATGAAAATGGGTATCAATGTTTACTTGACCACTGATACGTCTACGGACTCAACACTTCTGTTAACATTGATACTTAAAACGTTGCCACTAAGGTAGTGTTTGTTCTTTTCTTATTGAAAATATGCCAACAGGATGGCCACCGTATATAAGGACTTTGAAATGCTTCTGGCATCACCATCACCATCACCATCACCATCTCCATATATAATTTGGTTTCTTTGAAGGATCAGGTTAAGCAGCTTCAAAAGACTCAAATATGATCAAGAAAAAGCCTTGCAACCTTAATCTTGCTCTTTCTATCTTTTCCTTGTTCCTTTCTTCATGTACTATTTCCTTGGCCATGACAGAAAACAAGACCATTATTCCAACCATCATCCCAGTGAATGTTGGGGTTGTTCTTGATGACCTTCATTTGGTCAGTGGGAAGATATGGTAGAGTTGCATCAAAATGGCCCTCAAATACTTCTATGCTTCTCATGTATAAGACTAGGCTGGTCTTGCACTTTAGGGACGCCAAAAAGAATGTTGTACATGCAGCTGCTGCAGGTTCCTATTTTCCTTAATATATTGTAGATTTCCTAGTTAAATTAATTAGCATATAAATGTATTTTCTTTCTCTTTTCATTTGAGACACAGCTCTAGATTTGATAAAGAATGAACAAGTGCAAGCCATCATCGGGCCAGTGACATCGATGGAGACGACCTTTGTTATTAATCTTGGAGACCAAGCTTAATTATGTCCCCATTATATCATTTTCTGCAACAAGCCCTTCTCTTACTTCACTTCGAAGCTCCTACTTTTTCCAATTTGCACAAAATGACTCATCCCAAGTGGAAGCCATAGGTGCTCTTGTCAAGTATTTTGGATGGAGAGAAGTTGTGCCCATCTATATAGACATTCCCCATGGCGAGGGAGTCATACCGTTTTTCACTGATGCCTGCGTCCCCTACCAAAACTGTCATCTCCACAACTGCCACGGTTGATCAAATCACTGCAGAACTTTACAAGTTGCAGACGACGCAAACTGGAGTCTCCGTTGTCCACATGACAATCGAACTATGCTCTAAGCTATTTGCCAAGGCAAAAGAGATTGGAATGATGCTGGAGTTGCATTAAAATGTTCTATTTAAAGCGTATGGCCGCACGGCTATACCTTTAAAATATTCCATTTAAAGAGTATGCCCAAACGGCTACACATTTAAAACATTCTATTTGTGGTGTATAGCCGCGCGGCTTTACTTTTAAAATATGCTATCTATAGAGTATCGCCGAACGGCTTTACTGTTAAAATATGCTATTTATAAAGTATAGCCGTCCGGCTATACGTTTAAAATATGCTATTTATTGAGTATGGCAGGGCGTTTAAACATTCAGTGTATTAGAGTATAGCCGAGCGGCTATACTCTTAAAATATTCTACTTAAGTATAGCCTCAGTCTTCAATCCCATGCAAGAAGTTTTAGGAGTGTCAATTCATGTCCCATGGACAGTGGAGCTCGAAGGGTTCATCCCACGATGGAAACAGCAATTCCACAAGGACTATCGAAACATCACTGCTGCTGAAATGGATTATTTTGGACTTTGGGCTTATGATGCTGTTTTTTGCTTAGCCATGGCAGTTGAAAAAATTGGGTATACAAGCTCTGAACTACAAAAGAGGTGCTACTTGTTCCTTCGACTTGACAGATCCTCGTACCTTCATGGTCTCTCAACATGGTCTAGAACTTTCCTATGCCTTATCTATCAACAGATTGAAAGGCATTGTTGGAGACAGTGGCGGATCTAGGATTCAAAAGTCAGGTAAGCGAAAATTACCTTAAAAACTCGACCCAATGGAATAACCCAATAGAAGAAGATAATTAAAGAGAAGAGATTAAGAAGAATACTTGTTTCCTTGTATATGAGAAGAGAAGAGAAGAGGTTGTCCAGTGTCCACGATTGCACAGCACAACCAAGACTTGCGTTGAGAAGAAGCTCTCCCGACTCTGTTTGGAATTGCACTGCACAGCCACTATTTGGCTGCTTAAGTTATATTCTTTCTTTTATTAAAGTTTGACTGGGCCATTCATAACATGGGCTGGCTGGTTATGATTTTTTTTCAGTTTTTTAAAGTTTGAGTGGGCTTGTGCTGTGGGTTTTATATGGATTGGGTAGGCAAGAGTGTATACCAACACATGGAATGGATATCAATTACATAGCTCATATATAGGTTTTTTTTTAGTGAAATATTTTTGGGTAGGCGGTAGCCTACCCTGCCCTGGCTTAAGATCCGCCCCTGGCTGGAGATTTCAGCCTTGTTGATAGGCAACGCTAATCATCAACTTTTCGGTTAGTTAATATAAATGGTGGAGGAGCAAGAACAATTTGATTTTGGACGCCCCAAAATGGACTGGTGAACATTTTGAATTCATCAACAAGTTTCAGCTCCAATGTTCTTGGACTGGTCATATGGCCTGGAGATTCACTCTCTGTTCCCAAGGGATGGGAAGTCCCGACAGACGGTAAGAAGTTGAGAATAGGAGTTCCTGTGAAGGTTGGTTTTACTGAGTTTGTTAAGGTAACCAAAAATCCTAGAACAAACACAACGGATGTCACTGGCTTCAGCATTGACGTCTTCAAGGCTGCAGTGGAATTATTACCATTCGCTCTTCCTTTCGACTTCATTCCTTTTGCAAAACCTGATGGCACCAGCGCTGGCTCTTACTACGATCTGTGCTATCAAGTATATCTTGGGGTAAAATTCCTTACCATTTCTATTTCTTTTATCCAAGGCGTATTTGCATCCAAGGCTAGAAACTTTGCTGAGATGATAACAAGTATATATACATGTTTACTTGACAGAAGTTTGATGCTGTGGTGGGGGATACAACAATTAGTGCATATAGGTCCTCATATGTAGACTTTACAATGCCATACACAGAAGCTGGAGTAGTAATGGTTGTGCCAGTCATAGACAACAGGAGGAAAAATGCATGGGCTTTCCTTGAGCCTTGGACATGGGACCTTTGGCTAACAACTTCTTGTTTCTTCATTTTTATTGGGTTTTGTGGTTGTGCCAGTCTACACACATGTCAAACTGTGATTGGCCATACTTTCAAGTATTTTCTGGAAGTACCCACATGACCTCTTTCTAGTTTCAATTTGATCAAGAAATTTCAATGTTTAACTCCTGCTGCTAAAATATATAATTGAAAATTTCCTTGTTCACTGTACAGGGGAGAGAGTTGGTAGCAACTTGGCTAGATTCGTGATGAGCATGTGGATATTTGTTGTGCTAATACTGACAATAAACTACACAGCAAGTCTAGCGTCACTATATACAGTTCAGCAACTCCAGCCAAGTGTTACTGATATAAAGGATCTTGTAAGGAAGGAGGAAAACATTGGCTACTTAAACAATTCTTATGTTTACGATATCTAAAAACAAGTAGGTTTTGATGATTCCAAGATTAAGGGGTTTAGAACTATGTGGGAAATTGATGAAGCTCTTTCAAAAGGAAGTGGAAAGGGTGGTGTTGCTGTGTTGATCAAGCCCCCAATACTGTTCTAAATATACTATGATTGGACCTATCTTTAAAACTGATGGCTTTGGCTTTGTAAGATCTCTCCCCTCTTTGTACAATACATCTATTCTCTCCTTTTTAATAAAAGAAATGGACAAGCCAACGAGGTCTAGTCCAATATAGTCGAATCAGTTTTTTTCTCTTTATAAGAATTATACTTACAACAATAAAAAACCAAAAATCAGACTATTGAGAGTGTTTGTCCCACGTTGAAATGTTAAGGGACCTAGCAAGGGCTTATAAGGAGTTGAGCCACTCCCCACATTGCCAATTAGTTTTGGGGTGGAACCTCAACTTCCTTCATGGTATCAGGGCAAGGCTTCACTTTCCAACGGCCACACATGGTCCCACGCCACTCAATATGTGTTGTCCACGTGTTAGGCTTGACTTTGCAGGTGTTTCCAAAATTTTCCCTTCTTATACCAGATGTTTCACAGGCAATCCTAAAAGTGACTAGAAAAGAGAGGATATTGGACATTGAGAACAAATGGTTCAAGGAAGGAAGAAATTGTCAAGAATTGAATAGCCCCAAAGTTTCTAGCAACAGTCTTGGCCTTGAAAGTTTTTGGATCCTCTTCCTCATTTCTGGCGTGGCATCAATACTAGCTCTCATCATATTTATAGCTTCCTTCATTTACAGACATGGGCACATCTTGATGCACCCAACTTGATTTAGAGGCCACTACATGGAGAAACATTTTGACCATGTTACAAACTTTCAATGAAAAAGATCTCACCTGTCATACTTTTAAATTTACAAGTGAATCGAAATATGCAGTTGAGGCCTCACCGAGCAAACATTTCCCCAGATAGTTGTGTTTTATGAAGCGCAAGAGACACTGACAATTGACGAATTATCTCCCAAAATAATTTTAGGGAACTTGTAGTTTAAGTGGTTAAGAACAATTGCACCGAAGGTACTGTGTTCGAATCTCTCATCTTCCTGAATGGCTTATATCAAAAAGTGTGTTTTCGAACGGGCCACAAAAGTTACAACAAGCTTTTGGCCCAAATCATAATATTTGTTTCTCGGATTTTCAAAAGCAGCAGCAGCCCATTTCATAACCATAGGCCCATATTTACTCAGCATCACCTTCTATTTGTTTGTCATCTTTCTTCTTTACTCCTCTTTGACTCTACGAAACCCTAACATTCCCACGGAGTAACAAAAACAGCTCTCCCCATCTCCACAGCATAAACCCAAGACCCAAAATTGCCCTCACTTTCTCGCAATTTCCCATCCTCCAAACACCCCACAACCAATATGAGCACAATCAGTCTCCGCAAGGTCAATACCCGTCTTCCCCCGGAAGTCAACCGCGTGCTCTACGTTCGCAACCTCCCCTTCAACATCTCCAGCGAGGAGATGTACGACATATTCGGCAAGTACGGCGCCATACGACAGATTCGCATCGGCACGAACAAGGACACCAGAGGAACCGCCTTCGTCGTCTACGAAGACATCTACGACGCCAAAACGGCGGTGGATCATCTCTCCGGCTTCAACGTCGCTAATCGGTATCTGATCGTTCTCTACTACCAGCAGGCCAAGATGAGCAAGAAGTTTGACGCCAAGAAGAAGGAGGACGAAATCGCCAGAATGCAGGAGAAGTACGGCGTCTCCACCAAAGATAAGTGATTTTTCGTCGTTCTTCTAGTTCATGTTGTACTGTTTGGATACTGGGCTATCCTATTTCTTGGTGAGGATATGGTTATCTTTATTCCTGGATTATGTAATGAAATATGCTTGCTATTTGGGTTTTAGAGGAGTGTGTATGTTATCCTGAGCTTCGCATAGTTATAACAGTTGATTTTAATTTCGAACAAGTGCTCTTGGAGTTGCATTGTTGTCGTATATGTACAATTTATAACCAGATGCTGATGATGTTTTGATGTTTTGAGAAGAAGAATATGATACATTGATTGATTACAAAACTTTCCTAGCACAAGCACGCTGTTTTTTGACATTTTCTTTGTACACAAACATAAATTTAACAACAGATGTTTTATCTCAATCGGGTAGGTATTGTTCAAGACGCTCTTTAATTTTTTGGAATGTTATGGGCTTCGGCACAAATGAGTCCATCCCACTTGCAAAACACTCATCTGCGCTCTCTGAAAATGCATTTGCTGTCATCTGCATCATGATATGATGATGCATTAGTATTTAGTATTTAGTAGTGTAAGAGAAAATCTTCTGTCAATATATGCTCACCGCAATGATTGGAATTCGGTTTCCCAAAGGCGTGTAACTGTGACCATTTTGTAATGCATCTTGAGAAGGCAGGGTTAGCTCAATTCCTGCTTTCTCAGCAGCATCCCAGTTGCCAGTTTCTTCGAAGGAACGTATTATTCTTGTAGTTTGTAGGCCATCCATAATCGGCATGTGAACATCCTGCAAAATTTAGGTAATGCATGAATACCAAGACTAATATTCTTGTGTTCATATAAACCAACAAACCCTTGGGAGTTTTGTGGAAATTATGTACCATCAGAATGAGATTGTAACTACAGTGTTGAACTGCTCGCACAGCTTCAATTCCGTTATTCACAACATCAATGCTATGGCCTAACCGCTTCATCATGTTTTGCGTCACCATAACATTAATTTTGTTGTCTTCAACAAGAAGAATCTTAGGTTTCGATGTTGATTTTGATATATTTGATGAAGTGCTCTCCGTGTCTGCATCAGATTTCTCCTGCCTCTTACATGTTCCTTGGGGTTCTCTAAGCTTTGCTGCTACAGAAACTTCTCTGCTTGGCTCTGCGTGATAACTTGAGTCTGTATTTCTAGAATCTTGGAATTGATTATTTGTGTCATCTTGACCCTGTTTGTCTGCATGAGCTGGAGTTTTGCAGTTATGATTGGAGATGTGACTCGCTGAACTCTCTGGTTCAGATAATGTCTCAGCAACATCAATTGCTGAACAGCCATTTTCAACTGAAGCCATCTCCTCTGGTATGATGTTATTTTGGGGAAATGAGTATGAATTTTGTGAGAACCCATTGAGTTTATGTGAACCACTAAAACCAATATTGTGTGGTAACAACTTTTGGGTCCTGCTGGATCCATTAGAAGAAAACAGAGACCCCAAAGTGCGTGGTTGGAACTGGAAAAAGCTCTCGGCTACTTCATCAGTTGCAGCATCATGATTAGCCATATCTGTGACTTCATCAGGATCATCCGAATGGTCAGACGATGTTGAAACCTTGTATGGGAGTACAAATGTAAATGTAGACCCGCAGTGTTCTTGGCTAGACACTGTGAGTTGACCCCCCATTAGCTCAACCTACACCAAACACATTCAAATGTTTCAATAAGGCAATACATAAAGATTGGCTTCGACTCTCTACAGTAAACTACTGCCCTGATTTTGAGCCCGAAAAAACAAAACAAAATACTATACTGTATAGGAAGAAGTGTTTACCAATTGTTTGCATATTGCTAGTCCTAATCCCGTGCCTCCGTATTTTCGAGCATGATCAGCACTGACTTGCATGTATCTTCTAAACAGAGAAGGTAAAGCATTTTCTGAAACATGAAAAAGCAAAAGAACACAGTGAGAAACAGAGAAATAGATTTCATATAGAGAATCATTTAAAGCATTACCTGGTATTCCAATTCCTGTATCATATACATCACAGCGCAACCAAACCGTTGTGGTTTGAGGTTCCTCCTCTTGATCTGCGTCCATTGAGACTTCACTCTTAGCCGGGGTCCTAGGTTCATCATTAAGTGAATGATTCTGGTAAGGTCCGTCGACGTGAAAACCTTCTTGATCAGCATCCTCTTTCAGTCCATTTTCTGAAACAGTTGATTGATCTGCATTCAACTTTTGAGGACATCTTTCACCCTCTTCCAAAGATGGATCTGATACCACGTAAAGTCTTATCCCAACTTTCCCTTCATGAGTAAATTTGATTGCATTGCTGCCAAACGTAGAAGCTATCAAAAACTAAAGCCACAACCAAGTATATCCACCTTGCATGGAAGCATACAAAAAGACTGCAAGAATCCGACAAGATCCGTACCTGATCAAGTTGGTGAGGATTTGACGAATCCTTAGAACATCTCCAATGACCTAAAATTAACACACTGAATATAAAAAAAAACATACATATTTGCATATGAAAGGCGATAACTACACAATGATATATAGATGTTTGTTACAATCTAAAACCTCACCTCCACAGGAACATCCTCGGCTACATGTCCTTCCAAGGTCAATATTTTCTGCAATGATGCTGCTGCAGTCTGTAGTACATGCTTCACTACTTCTCTTGGCCGGAACTTGGTAGCTTCCAACTTCATTACTCCTGACTCCACCTTGGAAAGGTCAAGGATGTCGTTTATCAGTTGAAGGACCAAATCTCCTGAAGATAACATGACATCCAAAAGCTGTCGTTGCTCTCTATCAAGTTTCGTGGTGGTAAGTATCTCAGCCATGCTCACAACCCCGGAAAGAGGTGATCTTATCTCATGAGACATTGTTGCCAGCATTTGCTTTGCTCGCATTGTCTCCTCTGTGATGTGAATTGTTTTGTTCAGTTCTGTTTCCTTGGCTTTTTGGACGGCGATTTCCTCCCTAAGCTTTGCCATCTTTTCTCTTTTCCTCACCTGTTGTTTGTGCAGAAGAAACACAAATACCCTTTAGTGATCAGAAGAAAAGTCTTGAATTGAACACTGAAACATACAAAATGCAAATACCTGATCAGTTACATCCATCCCCATGTAATTTATACCAATTGTCTCTCCTGCCTTGCTGAAGACAGGCTCCACATATATCAAAAATGTTTTTGACCCAAATAATGGTGTCTCAAATGTAATCTCCCTTTTTGCAGGTAACCCCTTTTCCAGAACTTCCTTCTTGAAGTCTTGAGATTCCTTAACGCCGGCCCCGGTAAAAATCTCAACATCTGTTCTTCCTATAATGTCCTGGCAAGAAGAAAGGACAGAATATATTTAAGGTGGTTTAGTGTCAGAGTGTCACTTAAGCAAGGCAGTAATTACCTCCTTTTAAATTACATTGAAGTTATACAACAATCCTATCAAACCTTGAATAAGAACTTATTAAGTGGCAATTAATTACCTCCTCTTGCAGACTTGGGAAGTGATTATAGATAAACCGATACCGCAATTCCTTATCCTAAAACAGAAAATTATCAAGAAAAATTTAATTAAAAAAGTGATCAGTGAGGTCGTTTGAAACATAAACATAGGATTTACAATGTATCAGTCAGTTACCTGATGGCCAATAACAACAGGTGCATTCTGAAGTACAAAATGCAAGAAATTATCTGCTCTTTTCAAAATCTGGGACAATTCTTCCACCGGTGATGACTGCCTTTCAAGACTTTGAATGCTTTCCTGCAATTTATCCACAAGTATTTGCTCTCTCTCTGCACTTGCCTCCAACAACTTCTCCAAATGCATTGCCCTCTGCTTCCAGTACACAACAGTATCATACTCAGCTTCAATCTCAACTCTCTTGCTCTGAACAACAACATCATGTTTCTTCGGAGCAATATCCAGCCATATATCATAAACCTCATCCAAAATTGAAATGGGGCGCTTGTCTCCGCCATAACTTTCTTCCTCGAACTGGTGCTCTTCCAATATCTCCAACTTCTTGAGCTCAACTTCCTGCCTTTGCTTGCTTAGGATGTCTAGTTCTTCTCTGAGAAGCCGCACGGCATTTGCCTGCTTATACTCCCAGTGTTTTACAAGGAATGCTAGTTGAGAAGAGCCCTTGTCGGTATAGTTGGTTAGCTCCAAGAGACGCTTGAAATCTACTATAGTTGGTTCCTCTATAAATGTGACCTCCTCCAACATGTCTTGATCTTGTCCTGGCTTGTCTATGTTAAATTGCTTCCCTGCATCAGCTCCGATATCTTCAGGCCACATGGAAGGGAGGACTTCCATGTCCATGTCTTCAATATTATCAGTCTCCATCTCCCAAACCATCAAATTCACTTAAAATTACCACCGTCTCAATCTACCCATCTCAGTAAATCACTTTTTTTTTTAATTTCTGCAGGAAGAAAAATGAAACAGTGAGAAGCCACAAATCAGTAAGAACCTGAAGAAGAAAAATAAATTTCAACATAGAATCATATTGAAGCATTAGAAACTATAATTAAATTTAAAACAAACAAAAAATAAATCACATGACTGAGAAACTCATACCAACTCTTCCCTGCACTACTTCAGTGATAAAAAGGCAGATAAAGTATGAAGTAGCCAATTCTGGTAAAACCCTGATGCCAAAAATAAGAAAGTAGACCAAATTGAGGATTTTCTCTGAACTCGTGAGTAAACAGAGAACAGGGGTTTATTAGATGTAGAAATAACAGAGGAAAACTGAGACAAATCTCAAGATTACAATGGAGGACAGGGAAGTAAAGAACTGAACGGGAAATAAACATATTTAATTTTAGAAACAATCAAATTCAAACATTTGCATTGCAAAATTCTTGGTTTAGTTTTAGTTTATTAAGATGAGAACAAAACTGTCAAAATCACAAGTTCTTTTATTTAATGCTTTGAGTTCCAACTCCAAGTTAAATTAAACTCTGCCAATAGCAACACAAAGAACAGAGTCTTAATCATTTTCTCATTTTGAATTAAAAGGCAAGAAA